TTTCTTATAATGAATATGATATATGACATTTGAATATATGAGTACATTATGCTGGATATGATAAATAATACAAGAAACTTAAAAAAAAGCGAAACGTTATATATATTCGTAAATATATATATATATACTTTGCACTTTTTTCGTAGTACTAATAATGTAAATGTGATGCATTCATGCTATATGGATACATCTATGTGTCTTCTATAATTTTAATTATAGGCGGAGAAAGTAGCCACTGTATCTTGCGAGCTTGAATGGTATCTTCTTCCGGATAAAAAAGCTCGTTATATTGTGCTGTTAATGATCATGTCTAACGCTCCAACCAAAATCTCCGCTGGAAATATGTTTGACCTCTCGCTTAAGACATTTAGTGATGTAAGGAAATGGACTTAAACAAGTACACTCACTTGTCCATAATATTGCCACAATTTTTATTCAATATTTTTATATGTATCCTAAAAGATATTAATTTTTTTCTACAATTTGAACATGAAAATTTTTCTGGAACATATCCTCTCATTTATTCGAGTTTGTTCAACTTATTTTTCTTTCCAGCTATCATATTGATAAATGACAATATTATTATACACATAAATAATGTTCAATTATTTACAGATGTGATATTAATAAATTTGATTAAATGTTTGTTTCTATATACTGTGTTCTGGTATTCATACTATGTATAATTTACATATGTTTGGTTAATCATACAGTTATTTTCAATGTATAACTTTTTGTCGAAAGCAAATTGAAGCAATAAGTCGCGTTACTGTATGTTTTAGGCTATAAAAGCAGCAGGAGCGTACTTTAATATGCTCCGAAATGTAATCGACTGATTGCGATTAAATGTTAATTGTCGAAACTGCTAGCCAGTGTGGGAAAACATCGTCTAGTGTACATATAAAAGAAAAAAAAATCCGTAGTATATATTTATAAAATATAAAATTTTAGTACGTGTATACATATGCATGTGTGATATGAAGTCTTCTCGAATATACCTATCTTAAAAGATAATTTATATCACTCTTTTGCAAAGTTACACGAATGTCTACTACGTTTCAGCACGCAAAGACTTCGCATGGCATCGCGTTCTCATCGCTAATACTTTTTCTTAGCGGAATATCAACCCCTTCACTGTTTTCGATAAAAAAATATCTTGTTCGTTAGAACATATATAGTCTTTAGAACATAGACTGTACTTCTCATTTTTCTAAGAATACTGATAAATGTATATTTATACTGTTTCATTTTTTATGTTAATCTAATTATTTACTCACTCATATGCAAGCTCATCTGTACGTCAAGATGATAATGATATTAGATTAGAGTTACCTGAAGATTGGAGAGAAAAATTAGCGTTGACAGCATCTGCATTGGCCTGTTACCGTCCTTTGGATACTGCAATGCTTAATTACTATCATGTTGTATTTCCCAGTCAACGGTCACAAGTTGCAAAAAGAACAAAGTTAAACACCAGGATTTTTTTGTTTGCCGCAAAGGTCGACGAACACCGGTGGATAAGAATATACCTTCCGTAGAAAATGATCACGTCCCTCGGGGTTCGCTTAACTTCCTTTGCAAACTTCGTTGCTCTCGCTGGTCTCTATCTCTCTCTCTCTCATGTAACACTTGAATCTTTAAAGCGCGCAAGCGTAGCTATACGAGCAATGAAGTCAACTTCAGGGCCAGCTTTGCGCTTCCACGACCAGTCGCGGTTCAGCTCGCGTTCGGATTTCGCGCTAACAGTAGGTGGCACAACGGATGAAGCCCGTGAGTATCGCGGAACGTTCGTCAGCCTTCATAGAGAGATGCCGCGAAACGCGCATAGCCACGATGATATTGTATACGTTATGCAACCAACTCGCAATATTATGCTTGCGATCGGTGCCTGGCCATCCGTCAGCGGGAAGCGATCCATATTCCGGAAACTTTACGATCTCTTTCTAATATTTAGCTCCTACCTTCTTCTTACTTGCGACAGTATACCCGGCACAATTTACTGGCTTCTGGAGGAATCGTTGCGTATACGGCTTCAGATAACCCCTCTTCTCCTCTACGTCTTTATGACTGTCATTCAATATAGCATTTTTCTCTCCCGTAATGATCACATCAGACAATGCTTGAAACACGTCGAGGAGGATTGGGAGAAAGTCTTCGGTGTGGATAAACGTAATACTATGCTCAAAAGCGCGAAAACAGCCAGACTCCTGGTCACAATCTGTGGAGTCTTCATGTACGCTGGCGCGCTTATGTTTCGAATAATCTTGCCATTGTCTCAGGGAGAGATCGCCATCGGTGAGAATATCACCATACGACCCTTGGCCTGTCCGGTTAATTTTATAGTCATCGACGTGCAAACGAGCCCCGTTTACGAGATATTGTTTGTAGCCCAGTCCTTAACGGGATTCCTTATAGTTTCGGTCGCTACGGGCGCATGCGGTCTTACAGCAATTTTCGTGGTGCACGCTAGTGGTCAGCTGAAACTCCTGATTTACTTAATGAGAAGCCTCGTCCAGGAACAGAGTCAAGAAATGGATGAAGTAGATAAGAAGTTGGCCGAGGTGGTGGAACTTCAAGTAAGAATACGCAGGTGAGCTTGTGACTTACGTATATTTGCGGTGCTTATCGTTTGGCGGTTTGCATCGGCTAACATGATATTTTATAGTGTATTTTAATAAAAATATTCATGATGATCTTTTCGCTCACTTCTAATATCAATGTTTCCTGTATCTTCGTTGTTTAGATTTCCTTGAATTTCTTCGTACAGATATTTTCTGCCAAGATCATGCTCTTAGTAATTGCATTTCAGTTTTCTGCGGACGGTTCAGTATACTATGCAGGAAATATATTTGCTAGAAATAATGGTGAATACGCTAACTATCTGTCTCCTGCTATATTTTATAATAGTGGTTCGTATAACTTGATCAATCAATTTTTATGAAAATTTATATTGGGTACTTCGGATATGTGCGATAAAGAATTAAATAAAACGATTCGGTAAAAAGCTGATAATTCATTGGATATTTATGTTTAATGAATTTTAAATTGACTACGATGGTACAAGTTAAACGAAAAATTTTTAGACTACACTTGATATTTTAATATAATATCTCTATTAAAAAGATATATTTATATATAGGATTGGGACACCAGTAATTCAGGAGTTATAGGTTCCTATTCGTTAAGCGTTTTAAATGTGATAATCCACATTTTTCTCTTTTGCTATGCTGGTGAACAGCTTACAGAACAGGTGTGTTTTATATATTTATATTAATATATTCGATCTTTGAATGATAGAATGCGGCAATCCACAATTAAAATAATTAATCGTTATACAAAAGAAATCGCACATTTAATATTGCAGAAATTCCGTTAAAGCCTTTATCATGCACTGTAAATAAGTTGCACATTAAAGAGAGCAATATAGAAACAATTGTGTCTCACACTATTCTTGAAATAGCGAATGAAAATTTGATGCAAATTTTGTGGCCGTTGCTACGTGTGTGTGATAAATTAATGATAGGCGGAAAAAGTAGCAATTGAGTCCCGCGAACTCGAGTGGTATCGTCTTCCGGATAAAAAAGCTCGCAGCGTCATTCTGCTGATGATCATGTCTAACGCTCCAACCAAAATCTCCGCTGGCAAGATCATGGACCTGTCGTTCAGAACGTTCGGTGATGTAAGAGGATACTTTCAAATTTATATTGTTCTTTATTCAAAACGGAATGAGTTAACGAGCAATTAAATGAATGTATTTTAGATCATGAAAACTTCTGGAGCGTATTTTAATATGCTTCGAAGCGTTATTGAGTGAATGCGTCGAGTTTGCATCATCGGAATTATGCAAAATGGATGTACATCTTAATAATGTATTATGTGTAAACAACTAGATAGTTTATATCAAATTAAAACTTAGGCCAATGTAAATAGAAGAGAAAAGTACTTTCACAATTGAAATATATTTCTTATACAGAATGATACATGTACTGTTAATTTAATGTGTTCATGCCGCGATAGTCGACATATTATTTTGATTCGAAATATCTTACATTATTTTGCGAAAAGAAAGACAATGTCTACGAAAATTAAAATATCATTTATATAAGTTGTCCGGTTATTGTGAGAAATATGCGGTAAATATTGAGATTGAAGCAATCGCTAGCTACAGGAAGCAACAGAGTTGAACATCGGTTCTCTGTTCACAAAAGTTCTCGACAAATGTTGCGAGGTAAGAATATACTTCACAGAGAACGGAAATCCCGCAATCCCCTCGATGATTTGCTTCGCTTTTAAACTTCATCGCTTGCGATTTTTCTTCCGCACGTAGCATTTTAAATTTCCACTCTAGCAAAGCGACCAGAGAGTTCACTTTACAGTCAACTTTTTTTTTAACGTGTAATCCTGACGTAGTTCGCGTCCAAGTTGCGCGCAAAGGGAAATATAGAACAAGAATATCCCTCATGGAAAGCAACCCTGACTCTCAATACCTCCTCTGTCTTCAAACTTCAATGCTTTCGATTTCTCTTCCGCACGTAGTACTAGAATCTTTAATTCTACACAAGTTTATGTGATCGACAAATTCACCTTACGATCAGCTACACATTTCAATGTTCAATTGTGCTCGCGTCTAAGAAGATATCACATAACGAATATTTCCTGTACGATATTATGTATTTGACTAACGAGCAATATTAAGGGCATACGTAGTATGTGGCCGCCGATTGTCAGAGAAAGAACTTTGTGCAAAAGAATTAACATTTGATTTGATAACTGCTAGATTTTTAATTGGCTTAAAAGAGGATCGACGTGGCTGACAAATCATCCGATACGCAAGCGCACTTGCATACAGAGTTATACTCAGACTGGATGGCAGCATGCAGCGATCAGTGATGAGAGAGCGCGCAACTTGTCATCACGAACGTCTTGTCACGCATATCACTTTCCGTACAACAAAGTCGTAACACCATATAGTACACGCGTCACAAAATTTATACCCGAAGATGTTCCCGAATAAAAATTACGAGAGTGACATAAAATATACGATCGAACTGAATCGCTTTATCTGTCGCTTACTGGGAATCTGGCCAAGCATGAACGTTAAGACCTTGCTTACCGAAAATCTCAGAAACACTTTGCTGATTCTAATTTGCTACGTCCTCCTCTGCAGTGAGTTAATTCCGACGGTTCTCTACGCAATCATCATCGAGAAACGCACTCGTAATCGATTGAAGCATATATCGTCCATAATGTTTACAACAGTAGCGGTGTTCAAATATTGCAATTTAGTGTTTAGCAGGAATCGCGTGCGGAATTGCTTGATGCGGGTGCAGGAGGATTGGCAGAACGTTGCGAGCACGAACGCTCGTGACTCTATGCTTGACAGTGTCAAAATCTCAAGGCACTTGATCATTCTGTGCGGTATATTCATGTATACAGCTGGCTTGTATTTTCGTATAGTGGTGCCGCTGAGCAGGGGAAAGTCTGTTACCGATCAGAACATCACGATCAGATATTTGCCGTGTCCGACTTATTACGTTTTCTTCGACGGACGAATCAGCCCCGCTTACGAGATTATGTTTTTCATGCAGTTCTTCTCCGGACTAGTCAAGTACACCATCACGGTGTCGATTTGCAGCCTTGCTGCGCTTTTCATTATGCACGTGTGCGCGCAATTGGAGATATTGATGATGTTGATGGACAACTTAGTAAAAGAGCAAGAGGTCAAAAACTTGAATAAAATGTTGGCATTGACAGTAGAATATCAAATCAAGACGCGTAGGTAGGAATTTCATTGTATCATAAATACATTTTATCTGCCAACAACATTGATCCTTTTGTCTGTATTATTCTTGTCATTTGTGTTAGTAACTATGAATTTCACAAATTCGCGATTGAAATCTTTATGTTTTATCAGCGCGTGCCCCTGTTTAATATGTCAGATGAGGAAGAAACTTTCTAAAAAGTTCTATTTTGCGCGCGTCCCTTTGTAGTTTCTTGCAATTGGTGCAGAACACTTTGGAATACACGAGTCTGTTAGAATTATTGGGATGTACGTTGATGGTATGTCTCTTAGGACATCATATTATATCGGTGCGCATACATTATTATAGATTGGTAACAATCCGCACAGTTTGGCATTACATGTTATCCATCCTACTTACGGAGTGTACATAATTTTTTTGATCTTATAGGAATGGGAAGACCAAAATGTTATATCGATGAGCTCGTATCTCATTCTACTAACATCAATCACATTCAATATTTTTATCTTTTGTTTCATCGGTGAACAGCTTTCTATAGAGGTACGTCTGTCGTGTCTTATCGATTTATAACAGCAGAGGATAGTTCCGACGCGTTTAACAGACAGTGAAGGAATAAATACGGAAGATGCTGTTTCTTCGATTTTTCCTTTATGCGTGCAATTTGTTAAACCAGGGTGAAAAATTGTCATTGACAGTATGTACATTGGACTGGTACCATTTTCCTTATGATAAAGCACGAGCACTGATTTTAATCGTGGCCATGTCAAATAAACCGATAAAATTTCAAGCTGGGAAATTCGTTGATCTTACTATTAGGACCTTCGGCGATGTAAGTAACGTATTTAATGGTATTTGATAATTAGATTATAATTACAGATAATATATTATAATTTGTTGACTATATTTGTAATGTTACGTATATAGTTCGATGAAAGACGAATATTTACAAAATTAATTTCCTTCGATTTGTTAAATATGAAGTATATAATTGATAAAAGTATATCACATTCTAGGTCGTTAAGACGTCCGTGGCATATATGAATCTTATTCGGAAGGTTATGGATTAAATAATGTCCTTTATATTACAACAAAATGTTAGTCTGAATATTTTCTTATAGATGTAGATACGTAGCGTATTTTGGTAGAAGTATTAATTAATTAATGTAGAAATAAATATGTTAAAGTAACTAGTGCTAATATAATACAGATAGCTTTCTTTTTTATACATTTTTCGTAAAAGAAATATTTTGTGATAATTAATTTTCTATTCAAAATTTTCTGCAAAATTATTGAGTATTAAAATTGTTTGTCCATTCATTGTTATTGTTTATCTATTCGTTATTTTCGTTTGTCCCTGCTCCATTGTTTACTTACCTTACAAAATCAAGGTATTAAAATATAAAACTGAAAAAGGAGTATTTTTGGGATTTATTTGTTAATTCGGTTTCGCGAGGTGGACAAACGAGAATAAGGCATGGATAAACAGAAACAGCGAATAAACATATAATTTTAATGCTTAATTTGAGGATGCGGTCAGAAGGGCTATGTAAGTGAATTATCCGTTTCTCTTTTTTTTTATATCTATCTTTTGCAAAATGGACAAACGAAATTTGTGGGTGAGTAAACGTGAGTAAATTGTAGATAAATAAATACCACTTGAATTTTACAGAACTAGAATAACACAGCTCTAATTTTCTTTTTCCGCAAATATCCATGGATATCCATTATCCAGGAATATCCGTCATTCGCGAATAATTAAATAGTGCCGCCAATATCTAAATATCGAAGTCAAAAATGAATTTCCAATTTCCGGAATTCAAAAATCCGGGTTACCGAATATTCGAATAAATGGATTTCCCTACCTCTAGTAGACACTTTCTACAGTAATATTACTATTATTGCAACCGAGTTTTTTGTCTGAATTTTACCAAATTCACGGCCTATATACAGCGTTCTTAGAAGGGTAGAGCGCTGAAAGAATAAGAGAAAGAGGAAGAGAGAGAAAAGAATAAGATGGTTTCTAACGGAGAAGGAGGAAGAAAAAAATTTAATAGGGTCGCAAAAAGGGTCGAGGCGGAGGTCACGAGCGACTTTGGATGTAACACTGGTTTGTGCAAAATTACTCATTGCTAACAACGTTTCAGTACGTAAAAAACTAGCATGATATTGCGTTCGCATTACTAATGAGTCTTCGCGGAACATCGACCTCTATATTGTCTCCTGTAAAGAGAATCCGTTCGTACGAACGTAAATAGAACTTTCACTCTTTTAAGAATTCTACACGTTACGCGTTCTACGCACGTTATTATCGATTTATTTGGATGGTCAATCGTTTAATACGCAAGCGCACTTTACACACCGAGTTATGCTCAGGCTGGATGACAGCTCGCAGCGATCAGTAATGAGATAGCATGCAACTTGCCATCACGAGCGTCTTATCACGCACACCACGTTCCGCACGATAAAGCCGCAACAGCCGTGTAGTACACTCGTTCACACAATTCACACCCGAAGATGTTCCCGAATAAAAACTACGAGAGTGACATAAAATATACGATCGAATTAAATCGCTGTATCTGTCGCTTATTGGGTATCTGGCCGAATATGAACGCGAGGACCTCGTTCGTCGAAAATCTCAGAAACACCTTGCTGATTCTGATTTGCTATGTCCTCCTCTGTAGCGAGTTAATCCCGACGGTCCTCTATATAATCATCGTCGAGAAACGTTCTCGCATTCGATTGAAGCTTATATCGTCCGTGATGTTCACAACGTTAGCGGTGCTCAAGTATTGCAGCTTGGTGTTCAGCAGGAATCGAATGAGGAATTGCCTGACGTGGGTGCAGGACGACTGGCGGAATGTCGCGAGCGCGAATGCTCGTGACTCCATGCTCGACAAGGCCAAGATCGCGAGGAACTTGATTATTCTGTGCGGTATATTCATGTATACGTCCGGCTTGTACTTCCGCACGGTGGTGCCGCTGAGCAAGGGAAAATCCGTTACCGATCAGAACATCACGATCAGATATTTGCCGTGTCCGAGTTACTTCGTTTTCTTCGACGGGCGGATCAGCCCCGCTTACGAGATCATGTTTTTCATGCAGTTCTTCTCCGGACTAGTCAAGTACACCATCACAGTATCGATCTGCAGCCTCGCCGCGCTCTTCGTCATGCACACGTGCGCACAGTTGGAGATACTGATGATGTTGATGGACAATTTGGTAAAGGAGGAAGAAGTCAAGAACTTGGACATGAAGCTGGCTGTGACAGTGGAATATCAGATCAGGATGCAAAGGTGAGAGTTTCATTGTTCATCTACATAAATGCACTTTAACTATCAATCACATTTATACATCTGTCAGTATTATTACTGTCATTTGTGTCAGTAATCGTGAATTGCCAAGAATCGCGATCGGACACTTTATGAAACAGATACATCACGTTAACACATTACGTATATCGCTTTATCAGCGTGTGCCCTTGTCTAATATGTGAAATCGGGGAGAAACTTTCTAACAATGGTCTATTTTGCGCGCGTTCTTTTGTAGTTTCTTGCAATTGGTGCAGAACACTTTGGAGCACACGAGTCTGCTGGAATTGTTGGGATGTACGATGATCGTATGTCTCCTAGGACACGATATTATCACGGTGCGCTTAAATGATTATAGAATGATAACGATCCGCGCGATTTGGCATTATATCGTTATTTCGTTGCACTCACGCGCCGTGCGAATTGTACATAATCTTGTTAATCTTATAGGAGTGGGAAGATCAAAATGTTGTAGCGATGGGCTCGTATCTCGTTCTACTCACGTCAATCGGATTCAATATTTTTATCTTTTGTTTTATCGGTGAACAGCTCGCTACAGAGGTACGTCTGCCGTATTTCATCGATTTATAGCAGGATGGAGGGTAGCTCTGACGCTTTTAACAGACAACTAAAGGATGAAAACGCAGGTTGCTGCTTCCACGATTTCTTTTTTATATGTGCAATTTGTTAAACCAGGGTGAAAAACTGTCATTGACAGCATGTACATTGGACTGGTATCGTCTTCCTGATGACAAAGCAAGAGCACTAATTTTAATCATGGCCGTATCGAATAACCCAGTAAAATTTCGAGCTGGAAAGTTTGTTGATCTTTCTATTAGGACTTTCGGAGATGTAAGTTTAACATGTTTAATATGAGATATTTGATTATAATTAGATTATAATTATAGACTATAATTTGTCGGCTATATTTGTAATGTTACCTACAGAATTCAACGATAATAAATACGAAATATATATATATATATATATACATATATGTAAATATCATGTTCTAGGTCGTTAAGACGGCCGTGACATATTTTAATCTTATTCGGAAGGTTATGGAATAAATAATTTAACATCTTTATATTACAACAAAATGTTTGTCTGAATATTTCCTTGTAGATGTAGATACGTAGCGTCATCTCGTAGAAATATTAATTAATTAATTTTGAAATAAATATATTAAAATAACGGATGTTAATAAATAGCTTTCTTATTATACATATATTATTATAATATATTATTATACATATATATATTTTCTGTAACAGAAACATGTCGTGATAATCAATTTTCTCCAAATATTTTGTCCGAATATTTTGCAAAAAGAATGTTCTTATAGATTCACTTGAACATGTGGTTGTGTCATTTTAAGGAACAAAAGTATATCGCACTTGTCAGTCATTTCCTGATTATTTAGTGATAACTACAACCGCAGGTCACCGGTTAGTAAAAAGCAAGTTATACTTACTTTCTCCTGGTTGCTCGGAAAGTTGTACGTGGATAGAATACCTCTCGTAGAAAAAATCCCGACCTTCGGCGAGCTTCTTCATCTGCATAGTTTACCGTTTTCAGACTCTTTTCCGTGCGTGACGTTTTGAATCTTTGAAGACACGCGAGCACGAACGAGCAGTGAGTTCACCACTTCGTCAACTTTTCTCTCCGATGAATTTAATTCGTGTCTAGATCTCCAGTTATTCGCACGTATCACTCGTTGCACGACGAATTTATCTTGAAGACATTGTGAAATGTATGCAAGCTGTAAATAAGAACTATGTGAAGTATTTCTTAAATAGTGTCATACTTTTGCAATCATCAATAATCGGTAACCTTCGATATCTCAGCGTGAGATAACTATAACTAATATATTATTGCCGACGACATCCGAAAAACTTTGTACGAATTACTAGTATTTATCTATCTTAAGCCGGTAAATCGCCGCGCAAGAATATATTATATCTCGTGCCGATCTATACATATTTTTTACTCGATCTCTTAAGGCGAGGTGATCGTCGAACACGGGACAATGAATACACCATCATCGAACAATCGATACAATGTTTGCAGTTGGTCTTGCCATCATGCCTGTTGTTTTCTAGCTTTGTTACTATATTGCCGTCTATACTTCCCATCGCGATGTCCGACGTCGTAGGAGGACGACGTATCCCCATCGGTCGCGAACTTTTCCGCAATTTGCAAAAGGTAAGAGAGATCACTGCGAGTCACAATCGCAGTCGGTCCCTCACCTCTTCCGCAACCTGCGTCGAAGACGCAAGCGCACCGTCGTGCGCGTCCTTCCGCTGCTCAACACTGCTGCTCGATCAGTTCTTCAGCAACTTCAGGATCAAACGGATTGACCGGTCATGCACGTGAACAGCTCGCATCACGATGACGTCAGACGCACCGTGCACGTGACCCGAAGTGTCTTAAATCTGATCGGCGTGTGGCCGTCGTGCGGCGATTCGTCCGCTCTCAGGCTCGTCTGGACGAAGTCGCTCCGAATGTTGTGCCAGGTCCTTCTTTACTTCATATTCGTGCCGGGGCTGCTGAAAATATTTCTCAAAGAGTCAAACGCGCGTCGTCGGCTCAAAATGGTCGGACCGATGTGCTACTGCCTGATGGCAATGTTGAAGCACGCGATGTTGATCTACCAGAACAACCGGATCAAGGACTGCATCAGGCACATCGAGGAGGACTGGGGACAGGTGAGCCTAGCGGAGGACCGCAGGATCATGACGGGTAACTCGAGAATAGGCCGGAATCTGGCGATCCTCTGCGTTGCCTTCGTGTACGGCAGCGGATTCTTCTATCGCACGATCCTGCCGTTATCGCGCGGTACCGTCGTCACGCTGCAGAACGTCACGATCAGACCGTTGGGATACAACGGATACTACGTGTTCATCGATCCGCAGAAGACGCCGGCTTACGAGATCATCTTTACCATTCAGTGCCTCTGCGGTGTCGTGCAGTACTCGGTGACCAGCGGAGCCTGCAGCCTGGCGGCTTTGCTGGTGCTGCACGGCTGCGGCCAATTCAAGATTCTCATCGCCAGAATGGAGGATCTCACCCGGATCGAACACACTTCCGATGTGAACGTCAACAGGAAATTGGCGGCTATTGTGAAGCAACACATAAGGATTAAGAGGTAGTATGATATCTTATTGTAATTAAGGATGTATTGCCCATTAGTATTTCTAGTGACGTATTTATGTCATCTAGTTTCTTAGACAAAGTAGAAGATATTCTGCAGTATATGTGTCTGGTGGAAGTAGTCGGTTGCACGTTCATATTGTGCCTTCTTGGATATTACATAATAATGGTACACGAGATAAAGATATTTCAAATGAATGTAAAATAATTCGCACGTACACGGCTCAAGGAGGAAGGTGCAAAGGAAAATATCTCTGATGTGCATTTTGTAGGAATGGGAGGATAACGACGCAGTGTCTATGCTTACGTACGCTATACTTCTTCTGACGTTTACCCTTAACATTTTCATACTGTGCTTCATCGGTGAGCTCCTCACTAACCAGGTAACGAGCTGCCACCGCCGCTCGATAAGTACGAAGGGAGTATGAAGGGAGTTTTGTTGATGGAATGATCACACGATTATAGAGCACGAAGATGTATGTCACTTCTTGTACACTGAATTGGTATCGCATCCCTCACAAAACCGCTCGCAGTCTCGTCCTGGTGATCGCGGTATCTAGCGTGCCTGTTAAAATCACCGCGGGAAAATTTTTAGATTTGTCTTTCAATAGCTTCGGTGCTGTAAGTGTTTCCCACTCACGTCAGATCGCGTTAAAGAAGCTTCAATTTTCTAGTCGTTCGACAATGAATCGCGTCATCGAACGTGCAATCACTTATTTCTTTTTTCTAGATCGTGCGGACATCGGTAGCGTATTTGAATATATTACGGACAACCAGTATTTAAGATTAGCTAATTAGATGAAACAAGTGATTAGATGAACCTTATTCGCAGGAAATATGGACTGAAGCCCACGGGTTTCTATTAGATGTAAACAGCGTCATTTAAATAGTATATCGATATCGAGTTCGAAAATCTCCGAATTCTTTTCTTATTCTGCTTATATATTAAACATTGAGTGTAAATTCATCTTCACGTTAATATACACTATTCTCCTATTCATATGGAAAGACATTATATGTCTTAAAAAATGTATGACTAAACGAGTATATTAAACATTGAATGAAAACTCATTTTTTCCAGTCTTTATATTGTATATTCTCTATCTTCTCACACATATTTATATGATTGTTTTAAGTCTGATAAAATCTAGGATTAAACGAGACATTTAAATGTCTTTTTTTATCATATAACGTAAATATTTTAACGTATATGTAGGCATTAACGTATTACATTTCTCGACTGTGAAAATAATATGTAATATTTTACTTACATAACATTTCATTTATGACAATGACGCAAAGTACACCAGACGCGCTCGCTTTCACAGAGATTGCAAATTGAAATTTTAAAGGCCTCTGTTGTCCAGTGCCACGATCCTCCTCCTTGCACACCACAGACACTGAGGGTCGCGGACGATTCGGCATGTTAAATTCGCAACCCCTCTCATGCGCCCTGTCATTACGCGCAGTCGTTTTATGCACGCAAGCGCACCGCACAACACGATACTTTTAGAGAGACGCTGTCTATTATCACGTACATCCGTTCAGTCATGCTCGAGCTTCTATTACCGTTCGATTATCTGCCACCCTCAAACCCGAAATGCGAAAATTTTGTTAACGGAAATAACGGGAATCCTAACGAAATCAGAAAGATAAAAAGTCAGCCAAACGCAAAGTCAGCGTCCGACTTCGTCGTTTTTAGAATCTCAATTTAAAAAAAGTTAAAATCTCACGATGGAGCAAAACACGAAACGCTCGAAAACGATCTCGACGGGTATGCAAAGGAATGACTTAAATTACGCGCAGCAAGTGACCCGTATCATTTTACGAATGATCGGCGTGTGGCCAATTTCTAAAACCGCATCTAACGCGGAGAGACTTGCGATTCGCTTACTAAACGTCTCTTGTTACCTGCTGTTCGCGTTTATACTGGTGCCGGGTTTGCTACTGGTGTTCCTAAAGGAACGCGACTTGAAGAGGAGGGTGAGACTGTTGGGGCCGCTGCTGAATTGTTGGATGAGTTGCTTGAAGTACACTCTACTTGTGTATCACGAGAAGCAGATCCGGATCTGTCTGGAACAGATGCGACAGGATTGGCGGGATATCGTCGATGGGAATGATCGGAAAGTAATGTTGTCTAAGGCGAGAATGGGCCGGAAACTCGCGATTTTCTCAGCCGCCTTCATGTATATCGGTGGATTGTCTTACCGTACGCTTATGCCGCTCTCGAAAGGACGAATGTTGACGCCGATGAACATCACGGTGAGAGCGTTGGCCTGTCCGAGCTATTTCGTCAAGTTCGACGAACAGGCCTCGCCAGCATACGAGATCGTCTTTACCCTGCAATTTTTCGCAGGACTGATCACCTATTCGGTGACGTGCGGCGCGGCCGGATTAGCCGCCTTCTTCATTATGCATGTTTGCGGACAGCTGGCTGTTTTAACCGGCAAATTTCAACGTCTCAACGACATTTCGGTGCCGGAGGACCGTGCCGTCGCGACGTTGTTGGCCGATATTGTGGAACATCAAGTAAAAGTGAAGAGGTGAGTTCGTTGAAAATAGCATAAATGAGAAAATCTCTATACAAATGTGAAGGTACTCCTTCTTTCAATGTTTCTAATTGCAAACTGTAATTTACACAGCGAAATTAACGTGTAAAATTCTTTTTAAATTATATGTATATGATATATGTATTAAAAAATTACATATCGGCGTAAAATATACATATATATTGTACAAATATTCAGGAATAATATTATAAGATCTCGAAAATCATGATAAGTTACATTGGATTATTTTCAGTAATTTCATTTCATTACTTTAAACAAATCTTGCTAATTAGATAAATCGCTCCTTTACAGTTTTTTGAAACAAGTAGAGGATGCTATGCGATATATATGGTTAGTCGAAATAGTTGGATCTACTTTACTTCTATGTCTCGTGGGATACTATATCATTATGGTAATCTTTAGAAATGTTTTCTCTGAGAATTTTATTTATGCATTCTTCGTGAATTTTGAAATAAAAAATGCGGTAGTGATATTGATCAAATGTAATTATATCGTATGTTTCGCATTTTATAGTTATAATTAATTGTATTAACTTTATAGGAATGGGAGAGTAGCGACTCTACGGCCACATTAACTTTGTCCGTGATGCTTACATCTTTTACTTTTTCCATTTTTACTGTCTGTTACGTCGGTCAACTTCTAACGGATCAGGTACGGGCGTTGATATTCTTGTGTGCTCTGTCAAATTAGGCAACAATCACAAACATAGCTTAAAAACACACAATCAAAATGCACAGTCAAAATGTGTATTAACCGTAATAGAGCCTCGAGGTTGGGTTGATGACATCCACGACAAACTGGTATCGTCTTCCGTATATGAGGGCTCGCTCTCTAATTTTGATAATGGCGATTTCCAATATTCCAGAGAAAATTTCGGCGGGCAAACTTATAGAGATGTCTTTGCCCACGTTTGGTAACGTAAGTATAGAAGTCTGTCATTCACGTCTGTCACCGGGGAATTAAAAGTTCCTCTTGTTTTTTCATAGATCGTTAAAACATCAATGGCCTATTTTAATTTGCTCCAAAAGTTCATTTGATTTGTACCTTTGGTGAGACGATACACACGTATCACTCGCTGTATGACGAATTTATCCTAAAAATAACGTGAAACGTTCTTCAAGCGTTCTACAAGCTATAAATAATATTTAATGTGAAGTATCTCTTAGATTAAAATGTATTTTATTCTCTCATCATATACACAAATATATATTATGAACATATTTAATTTCTTACTGTTCTTTGTTCATGCAGTAAATGACCGACAGTCTTCTTTTGCCATCGCCAATAATCGGTAACATTCGATATCGGTGATAATTGTAACTGATATATTATCGTTGACGATCTCAACAACATTCGGAAAACTTTGTACGGATAGTTATTATCTGTCTGTCTTAAGTCGATGGAGTCCTTGTAAGAAATATAGCGCGTTATATATATTTCATGCTAATATACATATTCATGCTAATCTATATATATTTCATATCGCATAATCGCGTTATCGCGCGGAATCGCGTCGTTACATTGCAGAATACGATGATCAGATTATTGAGATTCAGCAAGTACTACGTATTCGTGGACACATACATACACACACTCACTTATTCACACACTCACTCAGTCACACTCTCTCTCTCTCTCTCTCTCTCTCTCTCCCCTCCCATATTTATGCGATTGTTATATATATTATACAATGAATCATTAAACGAGACACTTTTAATATACTGCGTCCCTCGAATGTCAGTAATGATTTGCAACATTTTACTTACATGATATTTTATTTACACGATGACATACAACGCAAAATACATCAGACGCGCTAATATTCACATAGATCGCAAGTTTAAATTTTACAGGCTTCCGTTGTCCAAGACACGATTCTCCTCCTTATATACCACAAGTACTGAGGACTCATCGCGGACAATTCGATATGTTAAATTTACAACCCTTCTCGTGTGTCCGTTTATTACGCGCAGCCGTTTTACGCATGCAAGCGCACCGCACAACACAATATTTTTAGCCCAGAGACACCTGTTATCACATACATCTGTTCAGTCGAACTTCTATTATTGCTCGACCACCTGCCACCCTCAAGTTCGAAATGCGAAAACTCTGTTAACAGAAATAACGGGAATCATAACGGAACCAGAAAAATAAAAACCGAGCCAAACGCAAAGTTCATGGGCGATTTCGTCATTTTTAGAATCTCGATTTAGAAAACGTTAAAATCACACGATGGAGTGAACTTTCAACTGCGCAGTGACAGAACCGCACCGGACGGACCACCCACGCAGACGCAGTAACATACGTAATGTAGTTAGCAAGTTCTACAGCCGTTTCGTCTGTCAGTTGCAATCGCGCGACAGTTTCGTGAGTAAGTTTCTACTTGCGTGATCATTTTGTACTACGTTCGCCACACCGGATACAATGATCGAAATACGCAATTATAACTGCGAGGAAGACATCAGATACACCGTTCAGGTTCACAGACTGATCCTGAGACTTATCGGGGTATGGCCGGTCCTGGAGAAATCTTGGCACGGGAAGAGGCTGCTGAAGAGGCTCCTCAACTGCGTATGCTGCTTCCTACTGTCTTTCAATCTAATACCGTGGGCGCTGCATATGTTTGTCATCATAGACACTTTCAAAGCTAGGCTGAGAATGCTGGGCGCGCTTTGCTTCTACACCATGGTATACGTTATATACTGCATGCTTATCCACCAGGAAGATCGTATCAGGGATTGTGTAAGACACGTTGAGGAGGATTGGCGAAACGTTAAGGACGTGAACGATCGCAAGATCATGTTGGACAAGGCTAAATTGGGACGTTTTATACTTATCACTGCCACGTTATTCTTGTTCACCAGCGGCTTCACTCACCGGCTCATTAAGCCGATAATCAGAGGCAGCATCGTCGTCAACGAGAACCTCACGATCAGACCGCTGGTGCAGGGAAATTATTACATTTTCTTCGATCCACAGCAGAGCCCTGCCTACGAGATCGTGTTCTCCGTCCAATGTCTGTCCGGTATCGTCATATACATCGTTACTGCCAGTGTCTGCGGGGTTACCGCGTTGTTCACCATGCACGCCTGCGGACAACTGGAAATGCTGATCAGTTGGCTGGAGAATTTGGCAAGCGACGATCAATTGTGGAAGGATCACGTCGCTGCTCGGAGATTAGCGACAATCATTCTACATCACGTGAGGATACGTAAGTGAGTAGCTGAAATTATTATGGGCTCTTTTCTCAGTAAAAGCTGCTATTCGTTAGTTTTGAAAACGGTGTCCTTCATATAACGTTATAATATTTTATATTTTTTAACCATAATATTATTTGTTTATTAAATTTTATTTATTGGACATTTTATTATAATAACGTAATTTTTAACACAATAAACGATTATATTGAAATCTATAAATTTGTAATAAACATTCTAGATTTGTGCGTCAAATACAAGATGTCATAGGAGAAGTATGTTTTATCGAAATCATTGGATGCACTTTAATATTGTGTCTTCTAGGATATTACGTAATAACGGTACGCAAAAACAGTCCTTCACACTATGGATTCGCATCGACGCAAATTCATAATGTGAATGTTTTAAATATTTTTATTGCAATAATAACACATTTTAGGGGTGGGAAGGAAACGACGCGATCTCTTCGTTGACGTATGCTATAATGCTCGTATCCTTTACCTTTAACATTTTTATATTATGTTACATTGGGGAAGTTTTAAGTAGTCAGGTAGAGTGCGTAAACAATATAAGTTTGCCTATATATCAAACATAATCGGAGATATATAAGCAACTAAAAAATAATAAAAATAATACGTTTAAAAGAATTTTTTAAATTTCAATAATTATAGAAATAAGATTTATTAATAATTAATATTATTATTATTAATATAATTAACAATTTAATAATACACATACTTGTTGCATTTTACGTAACAGGGGAGCAAATTAAACACTACTTGCTGCACGGTCGATTGGTACTGCTTATCTAGTAAAAAAGCTCGTTATTTTATCATTGTGATCGCCATGGCTAGTTGCCCTACAAAGATCAGGGCGAGTAAATTTATTGATCTCTCCTTCAGCAGTTTCGGCGAGGTCAGTAATCGTACATCTTGCCTGAAGCACAATTATAGCAAACAAAAGTTTTAAAATAAACTGGCAGTTATTTAAAATAATATTCAGCGGTTAATATCTTTTAAATATGTAATTTATATTTAACTTTTAGGTTATCAGGACCGCGATGGCATATTTAAACTTGCTCCGAACGGTTACTATGTAATATGTTATAAAATCTATGATTAAACGAGACTTTTAACATACTGAGTTCCTCGAGTGTCAAAAATAAAATATAACATTTTACTTACCTGAAACTTTATTTACACGATGACATGTAGCGCAATGTACACTGGACGCGCTTGTATTTACACAGATTGCAAGTTTAATTTTAGAGGCTTCCGTTGTCCGGTGTACGATCCACCTCCTTGCATATCACAAGCACTGAGGATTTATCGCCAAAAATTCAATACCTTCGCAACCCTTTTCGTGCGTAGTAACACTCCACAAAATTCATCATTCACCTCATTTACAATTCGCATATTATTGTTTTTATGTAACTATGCTTTTTGCAACTTTGAGCCTATCACCTGACACAAGATGACCCACTCGCCGGGAAACATCGTCAGGAAACTCGTCGGGCTGTAAAAACGCCGAATGCTCTTTTGCGCGTATCGATCTCATGCTGTAGTTATTTCCGATCAGCAAAAAATTGCACTTGTAACCAAGCGTACCAACCTTTCAATTGCGCCGTGATCAAACCGCGCCGGGTGAACCACCCATGTAGACGCGGTAACGTGCATAATGCAGTAGACAAGTTTACAGCCGTCAGTTGCGATCGCGCGATCGTTTCGTGAGCAAGTTTCCATGCATAATCCTTTTATATTACGTTCGCCACATCGGATACAATGATCGAACTGGGCAATTATAACTACGAGGACGACATCAAATACATCGTACAGGTTCAAAGACTGATCTTGAGATTTATCGGCGTGTGGCCGGTCCTGGAGCGATCTTGGCACTGGAAAAGGCTGCTGAAGAGGCTCCTCAATTGTGTATGCTGCTTTTTACTGTCTTTCAATCTGATACCGTGGAAGGATTGGCGAAACGATAAAGATGTGAACGATCGCAAGATCATGCTGGACAAGGCTAAAGCGGGACGTCTCATACTTATCACTACCATGTTGTTTTTGGTCACCATGGCCTGCACTTATCGCCTCATTCAGCCAATTGTCAGGGGGAGCATCGCCGTCATCGAGAATGTTACGATCAGACCGCTGCTGTAAGGAAATTATTAATAACTATATACACGATATAGTTTTTTTATATTTAAGATTGTAAATATCCATGCAAATCCAATTCAGTTTTCACGTTTCACGGATTCGTGTTCTGAAATATGAATACTTTTCCATCAGCAAGAAACATAATTCGGAGTTTTTAATTACACATATTACAACAAGTGCCCAAGATATTATTTAAATCGTATTTTTCACAGCCTCTTCCACAAAGCATTACTAACTCACTTCCACGGTTCACTTTCAAAGAACATTATCTTCCCGGCTAAAGAGACATGTAATGTAAAGACCAGTCGGACCTGCGCGTAATTTCTTCTCTCTTCGCAATTTTTCAACCACTGTTTCAACCAATGTGATCTAAATATATCCTTACTTCGTTTCCCTCGCGTCTGCCAACGCGGTAGCTATTGTAAAGTAACCTGCAGGAAACGGCGGTTCTCTCGTAACTGCGCGTACCCTTCTCTCTCAGGCAATTACGCAAACTTCTCGGACGATCGCTACTCGCAAGTTTGTTCCGCTTTGACCATTTATTTTTTCCCATGGAAAATCTGAGATAGCGCAAGCGCATCGCGGCGAGTACGGGCGCGTGTCGCCGCGCGACTTTCAGTGCGCATCAATCACTCGTACTGTGATAATGGAAATTCTATCCCGTTACCCTGGCAGCCGCGATGGGCTCGGGCCTTACAACGAAAACTACAAGGACGACCTGCGAGTCAACGTGCAGCTGACTCGGTGGACTCTGACACCGATCGGCACGTGGCCCAAGTCCGTGGATCACTCCTGGACCGAGACATTGTTTTGCAGAATAATGAATCTAATCTGTTACACGATACTGGCCCTGATCCTGATTCCCTGCAGCATGTACATCGTCCTGGAGATCAAGGACTTTTACAATCAACTAAAGCTCGGCAGCGCGCTCAGCTTCTTCATGATGGCGGTGATGAAGTACTGCGCTTTGATCTTACGCGAGGGCGACATTCGCAGGTGCGTCGAATACATCGAGGGCGACTGGAAGAACGTGAGGTGCGCGGAGGACCGGAGGATCATGCTGGAAAACGCGAACTTCGGTCGCCGGCTAGTGGTCATCTGCAGTGCCTTCATGTACAGCAGCGTTCTATTCTATTATGTGGCCCTGCCGCTCACGCGTGCCAAGATCGTCGACGAGGATGCCAATCTGACCTATCGGCGGCTAGTGTTCCCGGTGCCTAAGATGATTGTCGACACCCGTCGGAGTCCCATCAACGAGATATTTTTTCTCATCCATTTATTGTCCGGCATAATCACCCACATCATCACGGTGTCCGCATGTAGCCTGGTGGCTCTATTCGCGATGCACGCTTGCGGTCAGCTGCAGGTGCTCATGTCCTGGATGAATTACCTGGTCGATGGTCGAGAGGATATCAATGACACCGTGGATGAGAGACTGGCGAATATCATTCAACTGCACGTACGCATCTTGAAGTAAGTTCACTCTTCGGCGCTCTGAAACGTTGCGCTCGTGTCATTTGCGTAATTATTGGAACGTATTAAAAATATATTGTACCTTTCTTGTACCGATGCTCTATAATATATATATATATATATATATATTTAGTACTAAGAGAGATTTAAATAATTACGCAAATTTAATTAGATAGGAAAAAATTGCATCGTGAAGTAGATGCTTTACAAGAAGGAAATGTGATTATTCGCTTATGATTATCCGCATTTTAGTTTCATTTCGCAAACCGAGGAATTACTGCATGAAATATCTCTGGTGGAGGTTGTGGGATGTACAATGAACATATGTTTCCTTGGATATTATTGTATGATGGTATATGTCAATTTGATGATAAATTCGTGTCATGTGTGCTGTTGTGAATGATGTATCACAGACGTATGTAGAAACAAGAATATTTGCGTATATTTGCAAATGTTGCGAGTATAAACTTAGTATTTTCCACATTCAGATACTGGGAGCGAAAAATCGCGGATAACATTCGAGTAACGTCACGCGTCATCTGTCAATGATTCTCGCAATAGCTCATTTTGCACTAAAAATATTTGACCTTATTTTTTATTTTTCTACGATAACATTAACATTTATAATTACGGTATATGGGTGACCTAATAATTTGAAAGAAATATCCGAGTAGACGGAAAATACCTAAGTAGTATTCGAGTAGTGTTCAGATACCTGGATATTAATGCAATTATATTTCATATCGTCTATTTGCGAGTCACGCAAAAATCTATTTTATGTTATTGTAGGAATGGGACTTTAATCAACCTATTAGTGGCCTCACATATTTGATGTTACTTATATCGTTTACATTCAACATATTTATATTTTGTTACATAGGTGAAGTTCTAGCGGAACAGGTACATCCATTATTACTTTCCGTAACGTCATAATACGCCTGTGTATTTCAAATAGTAGACGTGAAGTAATCTAAGACAATTTTCACGATAGTTACCTTTAACAGAATTGTGAAACAAATCTTGTAACAGACCATGAAAGTACGCGAGAGCTCGTACATGATCGATTGGTATCGACTGCCGGCAAAAAAGAGCCTTGCTATCATTTTAATCATTTGTATGTCCAACGCTTCTACCAGACTCACCGCTGGAAATATAATCGATTTGTCCATTAGCAGCTTCGGAGACGTGAGTATTATACCAATATATCATAATTATAATCTCACACCCTGACATTAATATTTTCTTGCACAAAAATATAATTTTCATATACGTACGTCTTAAAAACAGTAAAATATTACAAAGTATTAAGACTACGGAAACGATATTATAAAATCATTCTTGTGATAAAACAAAATAATTTAGCGCATTATGTAACTACAACGAATATTGCTGAATAAAGCATATCTATTATAGTAAGAAAAACGATTATCCTCACAAACAGGTCATTAAATCAGCTATTGCTTATTTGAATATGCTACGAACATTTACGATTTGAGGAAGCATGATTCGATTAGTAGTACTCGTCGAATGATGGTAAGTCCTTCACGAACCAACGGTAACACAACGGGAAATTCTGAATTTTGAACATGTCTAATCATCAATTATTGATGATCATGCCTCGAATTAAACAGTCAAAGTATATAATATTATTGCACCGTTCGATTTGTAACTCGGTACTATTTCCCGAACAGAACTTGTCACTTTGTAGCGCTCTCCCTACTGGATGGTACCATTAAATACATGTGTCAGATTTATCATTTCTATTGTCATCACGAACTTGTACATTAATAAATAATTAATGTTTCAAAATATAGCAAAATATAGCAACATAAAAGCGTTAGTATATTTTTTATACATAACATTAATATTATTTATACGTACAAAAATACATTTCATGTATTGCATTCAAATATGATTCTCGAAAGCAAGGAAAGTCTTTACCTGCGCGGTATAAATTGAACAGCATACACGTATAAATATTACAAGTATATTCACACACGCGTATGCACGCGACGAAATCATTTATACACGATATCGCTACGTAACGTAGCAAATAGAGGAGCCATATGCGATTCTCCCGATTACTCGTGGAAAGTATCACCACACAGAGAGGACGTAGGCCGCACGACATAGGAGGAAGCGTCGGACCCCTTTACGGAAGTCGTTGCGTCTGTAAAGTTCACCCTTCATGCCCTAATGATTGTTTGATCGCTTCTTTCTCAAAAGATTTACCACGTAGCGGTAACTGTAAAGAAAGTCACGGCGCAGCCGCGACGTTTGGCTTTCTGCTCGGTAGCTTTCGCACAAGCCCCTCAGTAGCTGGCGAGCTTTCGCGCGCTTCGAGGATGCGGGGAAGCTCTATGTCCCGTCGATCGAGTGCTGACCACGATTACAAGAAGGACGTGCAGCTGAGCATTCAGCTGAATCGTTGGATACTGAAGCCGCTCGGCGTCTGGCCGCGATCAGCTGGACTCTCGTGGATAGAAAGATTCATCCACATGCTGGTGAACGTAATCTGCACCGGTCTGATAGGTTTCCTCTTCGTTCCGTGCGTCATATTCGGAGCGCTCGAAGTCGAAGACACTTACAACAAATTGAAGCTTTCCGGGCCGTTGAGTTTCGGCGTGATGGCCATCGTCAAGTACTCCTCGCTGATTTATCGCGAGGCGGATATTCGCAGGGGCATCGAGTATATCGAGAACGACTGGATGAACACGCAGCATTACGGTGACCGGAGCGTCATGATCAGGAACGCGAAGTTCGGCCGTCGCCTGGTAATGATCTGCGCGTTCTTCATGTACGGCGGCGCCGCGTTCTATTATCTCGCCATGCCGTTCAGCAGCGGCAAGATCACCGAGCCCGACGGGAATTTAACGTATCGGCCGCTCGTCTGGCCGGTCGCCAGAGCGATCGTCGACGTGCGACACAGCCCCGTCAGTCACATCTTCTTCTGGTTGCAATGCGTGTCGGGCTTCGTCGCGCATTCCATCACGACCGGCGCTTGCAGCCTGGCGGCGGTGTTCGCGATGCACGCTTACGGCCGTATGGAGCTTCTGATGCGATGGATCGAACACTTGGTGGACGGCCGCGAGGATTTCTGCGGTAACGTGGACGACAGACTGGCGATGATCGTGCAGCAGCACGTTCGGATCTTACGGTGAGTCGCTTCTTCGAGAGATATTCCTGTTTCGGTGTTTCTCGTCCTCGATGTATTTACTGTCATCATTGTAATCATGTAATAATAAGTTAATCGCGCTTGCGATTACACTGTTTTAATGAAATTGCATCTTCGAATCGAATTCTCTTCCAGTTTCATATCGCTAACGGACAGGATGTTGCGCGAAATATCTGTCGTGGAAATTGTAGGATGTACGTTAAACATGTGTTTTCTCGGATATTATACTATCACATTGGTATGCATTTCATATGGAAAGCACGTGCTGCAAAGCGCACCGTTTTGCTTCAAGTATGCCGGAGATCGACATGTACACGATTCATGATGACGCGTTTGCAACGGTATGTGCGAAATGTAAGGATATTTATATTGCAGGAATGGGGAAGTGTAGAGATCGCCGCATACGTAACGTATATTACTCTGCTCCTATCCTTCACGTTCAATATCTTCATATTTTGTTACATCGGCGAGCTTATTATCGAACAGGTATAACGCTTATCGTCGAAGTGTTTGTCCGCACTTTTAATATACACCAAATGTGTGATAAATTAACTTACGATTATATCTCTAAAGTGATTAAAACACTCTTCCCAACTTTGAATGCACTTTTACACCGAAAGAAACTTTTATCGTCGTAATTATTGTGTTTGACGTGACATAATTAACCCAAAAAGATCTTATGAACAGTGCAAAAAAATCGGCGAAGTGTCATACATGATCGATTGGTATCGACTACCAGGAAGAAAGGGTCTTGTCCTCGTATTGATGATAGCTATGTCGAATTCATCCACCAAACTCACCGCCGGAAATTTCTTCGAGTTGTCCCTCAGTACTTTCGGTGACGTGAGTTGCAGAAAATGACGTTGTTAAATATTTGGTTAACATCCGGATGACTTACGTGAGGTTCTTCCAACCGACAGGTGGTTAGGACATCTGTGGCCTACTTGAACATGTTACGCACATTAACTTCATAAAATTTCTCCGTAATATGCGAATTATATTATAAATCATTATACTAATTGTTCGGGAATAAATGTTAATTAATTAACTTTCTTCATGTCAAGTGAAAGGAAAAGAAATAACTGAATATAATAGGAGAGGAAAGAGTGAAGTATAATAAATAGAAATCTTTCTATTTATATACAGAGTGTTTTTTAAGTACCCAGCTATATTTAAGGGAGCGATTCTTTGGATTATTTCAAGTAAAAAGATTTATATAAACATGTGTCCTAAACAGCTTAGTTTCCGAAATAGCGGGTGTTGAAGCTTTCAGGGAAATGTAAATGTCACACAGGCTTTAGAATATCTTATTGAAACTTGGTGTAAACATATAACACTGCGACGATGCATTCCCCCCGGCAAACACCGCGGCCGACCGACCATCCGTCGGCCGCAGAACGGCGCTTCGCGCCAATAAACAAATCCACGCGCGGCGCACACGTCCGACACGTGTACGCCTTGACAACAACAATTGTTGTTGTCAAACGCGCGCGTGTCGGAAAAACCATCTCGGAAGCGGTATAAAAGACCGCTTCGCCGCAGTATCGGGACCTGATTCCACCGGAGTCAGCCGGATCGTAAGATCGAAGCTGCTCCGGATCCCGATCCCCAGGTCGAGAGACAGCGACGGTGTGTACGCCGTCACTGCTGTGAGTTCGCAGCCGACTCGACATCCTTCCATCCGGAAAGTCTAAGGTAGTGCGTACGCTGTCTCTCCCGTGGAAGTCGCGGGCACCGGACTCCTCAACTTCCATCTCGGGACGGTGTGTTCGCCGTCTCCACCGGGAGCTTCCGGCCCTCTTGCCCGTGACGGACTTAGGGATCGGCACGAGTAAGGACGGTGTGTTCGCCGCCTCTGTCGAGTGTTCTCGACCTCGGCCACTCCACTCTGGTCACCGGGTCTTGCGCCTCCGGGGCATGCGAACGCCCCGGAGTATCGTTCCGCGTACCGCGTCGCGAATCTAGAGACGACGCGTGTCTCTCCGCCGCACCTCACCGGAGGTACCAACGACCGCCGCGCAACCGAGAAACTACCGCCGCCTACTACACGTCGGCCAGGCTCGCCCGGCCGACTCCACCGTTCCTATAAGGAGGCACGATACCGCGCGCCCTCCGCTCCGGGAGTCGACCGACGCGAGCACTCCACGTGCTGCAACCACCGCGTACCGTGACGCCGAGTCTAGCAGGTGCATTCCGCCGCCTTGCACTTCGATGCGAAACCGTCGAATTTAAACACCGCGAACCATCAACACACCGCGCCGGAATCATAATACCGCGACCGCTCACCGCTAACACCGCGAGCTCCACGGGCCGAGCGTCACGACTGCTCCCGATAGATTCCGGGAAATAACAACAACCAAGCCGACGTCACCACGTAAACACGGGATTCCGTCGCCAATATTGTCATCCGAATATTACTGGTGTGAAACACCGAGATTAAAGCACGGCCCGTCGATAAGATTATCTTGTATCCAACAACGTGGGATAATTTAATAAACAGCTTTTATTAGACATTCGCTCACTCACTCGCTCACTCGCTCATATACCTACACCCACACACATTCAAGAACGCCTGGGCATCCGGAGAGCTACGCCAGGGCCAACCGAACACGGTCGACCAGCGACACCCCACCGGCCGGGGTAGGGACGAACGTCCACCGACCGGCGGGGTCCGGGTCACAACACATCAGGGGTGATATTTAAAGAATACAATAGCCAGAAGTATCAAAAAATTAGAAACGAAACAATTAAATGAAATGTTGAAAAGGACCACCTTCCGCCATAAACTAAAAAATCACCTTCTTGAGCAGAAAATAACGCACCAGGTACGACATATAAGGAAGCGTCGAGCCCCCCTTACGGAAGTCGCTGGGTCTGCAAAGTTCCCCCTTCATATCCTGCCGATCGTTTGATCGCTTCTTTCTCAGAACAAAAGTTATCGCGCGTAATGGTGACTGTAAAGAGATCAGTCACTGCGCAGTCGCGACGTTCGGCTTCCCGCGTTCGACAGCTATCGTGCAACCCCCTCAGTAGCTGGCGAGCTTTCGCGCGCTTCGAAGATGCGAGGAAGCGCTATGTCCTGGCAGTCTAGTACCGTCGCGGTCGACCGCGATTACAAGAAGGACGTGCAGCTGAGCTTCCAGCTGAATCATTGGATACTGAAGCCGCTCGGCGCCTGGCCGCGATCACCCGGGCTCTCGAGGGCAAATAGATCGATATACTTGCTGCTGAACATAATCTGCGTCAGTCTGGTATGCTTCCTCGTCATCCCGTGCGTCATGTTCATTGTGCTCGACGCCGAGGACCTGCAGCATACGGTAGAGATCTGCGGAGCGGTGAGCTTCTGTCTAAAAGACATCGTCAAATACTCCTCGATAATCTTCCGCGAGGGCGACATACGCAAGGGTATCGAGTACATCGAGAACGACTGGATGAATACGCGGTATTACGACGACCGGAGCATCATGATTAAAAGCGCCAAGTTCGGCCGGCGCCTCGTGGCGGCCTGCGCCTTCTTCATGTACGGCAGCGCCGCGTTCTATTACATCGCCGTGCCGTTCAGCAAAGGCAAGATCACGGAACCCGACGGGAACCTGACGTATCAGCCGCTTATGTGGCCGGTCGCCAGAATGATCATCGACGTGCGTTACAGCCCCGTCAACGAGATCTTCTTCTGGCTGCAATGCGTGTCGGGCTTCGTCGCGCACTCCATGACGACCGGTGCTTGCAGCCTGGCGGTGGTGTTCGCGATGCACGCTTACGGCCGTTTGGAGCTTCTGATACGATCGATCGAGCATCTGATTGATGGACGCGAGAATTCCCGCGGCAACGTGGACGACAGACTGGCGATGATCGTGCAGCAGCACGTTCGGATCTTGAAGTGAGCCCTTCCTCCGCAAGTATTTCCGCATCGGTTACTCTTGTTCTTGCTGTGTTTATTGCTATTATTATCATCATTGTAATTAAGCGTCGATTGTGCTTGCGATGGCGTGTTTCAATGAAATTCATATGTTTCGCGAATACCTTCCGAGTGGTACAATGTGACACTTGTCTTCCAGTTTCATATCGCTGACGGACAGGATACTGCGTGAAATATCCGTCACAGAAGTTGTAGGAAGTACGTTAGACTTGTGTTTTCTCGGATATTCTAGTATGACGGTATGCATATCGTACGTAAAAAATATTCGTGCCGCATAGCGCATCGTTTTGTTTCAAGTAGCGTCGAACACTGACGTATGCATGATCTATGACGACGCACGTTCAACGTATACTCGAAATGTAAAGACCTTTACGTTGCAGGAATGGGCTAGTAAAGAGACAACCTCCTACGTAACGTTCGTTATTCTGCTCGTATCTATCACATTCAATATCTTCGTACTTTGTTACCTCGGCGAGCTTATTGCCGAACAGGTACAGTGTTCACCGTCAAAACACTTCCCTGCACCTCTGATGTACATCTGCTGAGCAATAAATCAATCCATGTTTATATCTTAGAGTAATGGAAAAATTGTTTCCAAACTTAGAATGTACCTTCACGCTGCAAAGCAGCTCTTACCGTCGTAATTATTGTGTTTAACTTAATAGAAATGAGAAAAAAAAAACACTCTGTTAAACAGTGCAGAAAGATCGGCGAGATGTCGTATATGATCGATTGGTATCGATTACCAGGAAGAAAGGGTCTCGGCCTCGTGCTGCTGATAGCTATGTCCAATTCGTCCATCAAACTCACTGCCGCAAATTTCTTCGAGTTATCCATCGGTACCTTCGGTGACGTGAGTAGCTCAGTGGCATTATTAAGTTTTCGGTTAACAATCGGACGACTTACGTGAGGTTCTTCCATTCGACAGGTGGTTAAGACATCTGTAGCCTACTTGAACATGTTACGTACATTAACTTTGTAAAATTTCCCCGCAACGTGAGAATTACATTATAGATCGATACATCGATAATTTCGGGATAAATGCTAATTAATTATCCGACCTCATGTATTGAGTGAAAAGGGGCGAAATGGAAGAATACAGTATATAGAAAGTAGAGATACGTACAGTAAATTGAAAACTTGCGTATTTATATATAACATGTAATTACTTAAGGAACATAATACTTAAGGAATCCGACGCACACTTGTCCTGTTGTCTTCAACAAAGCCTCCTCAAGTTCTACACGCTTCATCACTCGATGACAGAATTAAATATAACATGAATTCACAGATACGGGTAACTTCTTAGCGAAATAAAGTGTCAACTTTCCGGATATCGATTTCTGGATTTGCTTCCTCTTCTCGTCCAAGCAACAGCATAGAGCATACGAGCATAGGTTATTCCTCAATGTATTCCCTTACGCACATACATTGTCTCGCACGTATCGATCGTTAGTGACCCTTCATCCGATGGAAACGCCGAGGCTTCTTCCTCGCGGAGGGAGCGTCGTTATTCTCGAAGGAAAGATTAGAGAAACGCGCAAGCGCCGAAGAAAGCGACCTGCTGTCCTCCGTCGTGACATTGCCGTTCAATAGCCGGTGGACCTTCGAGTCACGATCATGTCACACTCCTTCCGCGTGTCTCCCACGCACAACGCCGCGCACCAGCGGGACAGCGAGTACAGCATCCAGCTGAACCGCTGGTTCCTGAAGCCGATCGGTGCCTGGCCCGATGACGACCGGCCGGTCAGCATCGCGGAAAGACTGCTGTTCTGCGGCATTCAGTTCGTCTGCCACTCTCTGATCGCCTTCACGGTAGTGCCGTGCGCGCTTTACATCGTGTTCGAGCCGGACGTGCACCTAAAACTGAAGGCCTTCGGCCCGATGATACACTGGTTGATGGGCGGCCTGAACTACTGCTCTCTACTGCTGCGTAGTTACGAGATACGCAAGTGCGTGGACCACATGCGCGCCGATTGGCGGCAGGTGAAGGGTGTGCACGATCGGGAGGTGATGCTGAGGAACGCCAAGTTCGGACGATTCGTCTCCGGCTTCTGCGCGATCTTCATGCAGGGCGGCGTCTGTTCCTACAGTATCATCACTAGTCTCACGCCGGTGGTCGTGCAGATCGACAATGTCACTATCACGATGCACCAACTGCCGTGTCCGTTCTACACAGAGCTGGTGGACGCAAGATACAGTCCGACGAACGAGATCGTACTTGTTCTACAACTGTTCTCGACTTTCATAGTGAACACCATCACGGTGGGCGCATGCAGTCTCGCCGCGGTCTTCGCCATGCACGCCTGCGGCCAGCTGAACATCCTGATGGTGAGACTGGACGAACTCGTCGACGCGTCGTCGACGAAGGATGGGCATGAGACCTCGCGCCGGAAGCTGGCTGGCATCGTGGAACATCATCTACGTACGCTGAGGTAGTACAGCTGCATGTCAACTATTTTGGAGTGTGATTTGACTTTGCTATCAGTAAGAATGTATACGGAGAAGTATTTAAACAGCCGATTCTGAGCTTCATTGTACAAAAGAGCTCTCATTTTTGTAACATCATTTCTTCTCAACAATCGTGATCATAAATCGAGCTGTCTTTCAAGGAAAGTTAAAGTTCAAAGATATTATCGCAGTTACGAGAAAGGGTTTCACGTTGGCTGTGTCTCGTAAAATGGTTTCATCGCGTTTTCATTTCAGCTTCGTGTCGGAAATAGAAACGATTATGCATCAGATCTGTCTCGTCGAGCTGTTGGGGTGCACGACAGACATGTGCATGCTCGGATATTACACGATTACGGTATGCTAAAATTTCGCATCGAGAAGCAACAGGTGCAAAATGCACATTTCGCGAGTTTGAGACATTACACGAAAGTGATATTGAAGTCGTATTATATATACGTGGGTAGTTTTCTGACGCGTCCTCTTTTCTGATGTATTTTATTTCCACATATACTTACAGGAATGGGAACTGCACGACACGAAAAATTTACTCACGTACTTCACTATATTTATTGCCATGTCATGCAACATTTTTATATTTTGCTACATTGCTGAGATTCTTACGGACCAGGTAGTCGCATCGTATCAGTTTCTCTCTGCTTGTAACATTCTGAAGTAAAATTATCACTACAGAAATATATTGATCAAATCAGCCTTTGTACAGTGTCAAAAAATAGGCGATATGGCATACATGACAGATTGGTATCAATTGCATCATAAAATTGCGATCGATCTGATCCTAATAATCTCGAGATCGAACGCCGTTATAAAGATAACAGCCGGAAAAATGATTCAACTATCTATCGCAACTTTTGGAGATGTAAGTCTGTTCGATAACACACATATTAACGGTTCTGTAACCAAATTTGTGTAATGACGAGCTCGTGTCTGCAGTCTTCCATAACTTCTGCTCGAAATTTCGCTATCCCGAACTATCAATAAACACTCTAATTACCGTCGAAACAATTATGTTGCTTGTAATTTCCAGGTACTAATACACGTTTAGAGTTTTAGAAACCTTGTTGCAGCAAAATTCGCAAAACCATTAACATAAAACCATTAAATCTGTCAATCGTGATTATTTCAGGTGATGAAAACGTCGTTTGCGTATTTAAATATGCTCAGAACGGTAGCGATGTAACAAAAACTAAAATATTTATGCGCCGAACTCGAAAGTTGCCGAAAACAGATTAAATGTAAATCTATTTGACTTACTAATAATCAGTGTAGTGATGCAGCTGATTCTCGTTATATCAATTAGCATATTCCTTACCTTCTCCACAATTTCATTATCGTTATTTCATATTTTATTCACCAATAACCATACACACACGTGTAGCTTCAACAACTGAGAAAACTCATATTTTCTATTGCACACGAGAAACTCTTTGAAGACGAGGAATGTCGTCTGTCCGTCTGTCACAGATAACTCCAAGAGTATTAACTCATCCGATGAGAGGCGATGACAACCGCTAATTTCACAGTAATCATTGACTTATCGGAGATTATCCGATCAAATCATTCTCAGATGTAGATAACTCTATTGCTCGTGTGCCGTACAGTATACTGCGATTCGATGCAACAAGTTGGGGGAGATATAGATATCGATTACGTTCCGTTTCAGCCGGACGGTACAGTAATTTCTTCTCTTTTCTCGTCATGTCCGCGCAAGCGCCACCGTATCTACCACTTGGAGAAGAAGCAGGCGGGTAGTGGCGATCAGTAACCCTTACGCGTCCCTCGCCGGTGAACCATGAAGCGCACTCCTCACGAGTCCACCCTCGATCTCTACAAACGAGATAACGACTACAGTCTTCAGCTGAATCGTTGGATCCTGAAGTCGATAGGCGCTTGGCCGGAACTGCCGACGAATTCGTCGGCCAGAAACATCCTAGGGAAGGTCCTGATACTCACGTGTCACTTTTTAATAGCTTTCACCGTGGTGCCCGCTATACTGTACATATTTTTCGAGGAGAAGGACTTCCGCCTTAAATTGAAGGCTATAGGGCCGACGAGTCATTGTCTCATGGGTGGTATCAATTACTGCTCGCTCTTGCATCAAAAGAAACGTATACGCAGATCCATTGAACACATGGATGCGGACTGGCGAATGGCGAAGAGAGAGCACGACAGGGAAGTGATGCTGAAGAACGCCCGGATAGGAAGAATCATAGCAGGCACTTGTGCGCTCATCATGCAGGGTGGTGTGTTCTGTTACAATCTAGCTAGAGGATTGTCGCCGATAAGCATGGTGATCGGCAACGAGACCATGTCGATAGGCCGCTTACCTTGTCCGTCGTACAATAAGATCGTGGACACCAGGTTCAGTCCGGTATATGAGGTGATGCTCGCGCTGCAGTGTCTTTCAATCGTTGTGGTGAACAACACGACGGTCGGCGCGTGTGGTTTAGCCACGGTGTTCGCGATGCACGCCTGCGGCCAACTCAACGTGGTGATGTTGCGGCTCGGAGAGCTCACCGACGAGAAACGAGACGTCCTTCAGCTAAAATTGGGGTACATCATCGAGCGGCATCTGCGAGCGTTGAGGTAAGAAGGGTCTTGCGAGTGATTACGTACAGATCATTTTTATCATTGTCAATGGAATATGCAGTCTCACGTTGGCAATTTGGTCTTTTAAATGACACTTTTTTAAATGTATCTCTTATAATATCTTTCTAATTATGGTAAATGCTAAAAGATTATTAGAAAGATATTGGCCAAATTTTCTTTATGTTTCTTCGGGAATTTGATATTTTTAAACGTAAACTGTAAAGAGTTGAATCACGAATGTTACAGTTATTTCTAATTGTCTCGATTACTAGGTTTCTCTCGCGTATGGAGACGATTATGCGTCAGATATGTTTCGTGGAATTAGTCGGATGTACATTCAACTTGTGCATGCTAGGATATTACACCATTACGGTACGCTTAAAAACTTGAAAAGGTGAATATGTAATGAAAAATTCACGTTGCTCCAGTTTATTTTTACTCCGAATGCTATCAAGTTGCATACCTTCTAGGAGTGGCGTGAAGAAAGTACAAATACTATAATAACGTATATCATGATCCTCACAGGAATGATGTTCAATATTTTCATATTCTGTTTCATCGGCGAACTCGTAACAGATCAGGTAGTCGTGTTTACCTCTCGTCGATTCTTTTATTAACCAACTTATAGTTAAAATATTATTTTTGTCTCATGGATTTTGTCTCGCGACAGTGTAAAAAAGTCGGCGAGGCAGCTTACATGATAAACTGGTATGCATTGCCGCATAAAACCGCTCTCGACTTAATTCTAATAATTTTGCGATCAAGTATCGTTATCAAAATCACCGCTGGGAAAATATTTCACATGTCAATCGCGACTTTCGGCGTTGTAAGTATTTTGAAATTTTTTAATACGTTACACTAATTACTATGAATAAATTCTATATATTTATTCATTGCGTATCCTTTAATTACTGATATCCAAATTTATGAGCTTATGAATAATACATGACAACAATTTTCATCGAGCATTACGTGCACGTGATAGCCTATCAAAATCCGAATTAATCACTCTTGTCAAATGTTTTAGGTGATTAAAACATCTGTCACATATTTGAATATGCTTCGAGCTTTGACCATGTAAATATAACAAACATAATTATGCTATGATATTTTCAATAGAGCTTATCTAATCTATTATTTTTCGTATAATAAATATTTTACATGTAAATACGATTTATATGTAAATGTATACATACAGCAACGAATATGTAAAGGAAAATATTTCAGGTTCACAAAAAATTTATTTTAAAAGGAAATCATAAAACTTTTATTCTTCATACTCCATAATTAAATATATATATACGCGTAATTAAATATATATACGAACGTTCACACGGCATTTTACATTGCTTCACGAGCAGAAAACTCCTGTGATTTTCTGCGATCGTTCGCGGAAAATACCAGGAGGCCAAGTTTTACACGCATAATTCAACAGTGCAATAAACAGTAACCGACTGACATACCACGTGAGGAAGAGTCGAACCCTCTTGCGGAAGAAGCAATATGACTATAAAATGCACCCTTCGTTTCCTGACATGACCGGTCGTCCGATTGTTCTTCTTCGCTAGCAGGGCAACCAAGCACGCAAGCTCGCGATACCGGCTTTCCATATTCGAGCGATTCTTTCAGTCGCTATCTAGCTTCCGTCACGATAATGCAGGCACCATCGATAGAGAAGTCGCAGCCCGTCGTGTACGATCACGAGAAAGACCTGCAGCTGAGCATCCAGTTCAGAATCGATGGATACTGAGGCCAATTCTCGTGAAAGCTTCTGCCTATCCAGGAGGATTCGGTGCCTGGCTGAGCTCGGCCGACACGCGCCAAAGTCTCGTCAGCGAAATCTTCTGCTGTGTTCAACACGTGGGGAGTTTCTTCAGGAGTGGAATGGTTTCTACTGGAATGGGAAACCGGCGATCTCGCAAATTACGTGACGTATATTATTTTGCTCATATCATTCACCTTCAATATTTTCATATTTCGTTACATAGGCGAACTCGTCGTAAAACAGGTATGATTCGTCATTGTCAAAGCACATATTTCTTTCGTATATTTTCATGATTGATCGAACAATCGATGATTTTATAATAATTTTCAAGACAGTCTTCGTGTATGATATAATTCTTATCGTTATGAATATGATTCTGCGTTTGACATAAAATAAATCAGTAAAGCGATTCTTGTATATTTAATAGTGAAAAGGAAAGTCAGTGAGATATACTACATGATCGATTGGCATTGTTTACTAGGAAAAAGGGCCCTAGCTATCGCATTGCTAATCGCAATGTCCAATTCGTCGATCAAATTTACCGCCGGAAATCTCATCGAATTGACTCTGAGCAGTTTTGGTGACGTAAGTAGTAATATTACGAAAATAAATTATTCGCAACGCACATGATTCAATTTCTCATTGCACTCAGACCTTACTTCTCTTACAATACGATCGAATCTTCTAATGAAATACGAAACATCGTGTGATATATTTGTTATTAATTAACAATTTTTAAACATAGATTTTTAAATTAATTGAAAAATTTCCGAGCGAAGATATAAAATTGTTGCGAGGGAGGAGACGATGTAAATCACCGTTCACGTGATAAAATAAAATGTATTTCCGTACTTTTTCTATTAATAACTATTTTCTATTAATAACTATTCGCTACTTACTGGTGCAGTTATGAGAATACTTATCTTCTGGTATAGAAGGCCATATTAACGAATGAACAATTCATCGTGTTTCCATACAGCACAATGTACAACTGACTTGTTCAGTCGTTTCTATCTCTATTACTTCGTACACCGTGAATATACATTGAGGCACGATGCAACAAGTTGCGCGTACTATAAGTATCGATCATGCATCGTCTCAGCCAGCCGGCGGAGCAATGTCTTTTCGCCTGTCAGGAATAAACCATGCGGCCGCGCAAGCGCTGCTCGTGACTAACTGGCTGCCGTTGAGACTCGCAGTCAGTAGTCGAGACCAGTACCTGACGCGCTTCCGGTGAACCCGAGCACGATGCGTTCGCCCGGTAAGGCCATGGTGGACGTTTCCAGACGAAATAACAATTACAGTCTTCAATTTAACCGCTGGTTTTTAATGCCGATAGGCGCCTGGCCGGAATTACCCACGAGCTCGGTTACCGAGAGAATAATATTCAAGATTCTGAGATTAATATGTCACACTTTGATAGCTCTCACCGTGGTACCCTCCATACTGTACATACTCTTCGAGGAGAAAGACGTCCGCCTGAAGTTGAAGGCAGTAGGGCCCACGAGTCACTGGCTCATGGGTAGCATCAATTACTGCTCGCTGTTGTATCAGAAGAAACAGATAGGCAGATCCATCGACCACATGGAGACGGACTGGCAAATGGCCAAGAAGGAGTGCGATCAGCGAGTGATGCTGAGGAACGCCAGGGTAGGACGAACCATCGCGGTTCTCTGCGCGCTTATCATGCAGGGTGGTATTTTCTCGTACAACGTGGCGAGAGGAACGTCGCCGTTACTAGTGGTAATCGGCAACGAGACGGTCGCAATAGGCCGCTTACCATGCCCGTCTTTCAACAAGATCGTGGATACCAGGTTCAGTCCGGTGTACGAGGTCGTGCTCGCGCTGCAGTGCCTGTCGGCCATTGTGGTGAACAACACGACTGTCGGCGCGTGTGGTTTAGCAGCGGTGTTTGCGATGCACGCCTGCGGCCAGCTCAGTGTAGTGATGTCGCGGCTCGAAGAACTAGACAGCAAGAAAGAGGAGTGCCACGTCGTTCAGAGGAAATTGACGAACCTCGTCCAGCGTCACCTGCGAGCGTTGAGGTAAAATTTAACGATAATAATTAAGGGTGTTGTGTGTGCACGGGAAATTCGTTTGGTTCCAATGAATAGATGATTGAATTTGATTCCATTGAAATTAATTTTCTTGGAGTGCTATCGAACACTGCGAATTGTTGCAATTACTCTTGACATCGTTTCGTTAATTTGACTTGATATATTTTGGAATGGTAATTATTGTTAAATGTGTCCATTTCAGGTTTCTCTCGCGCATGGAGATAATTATGCGACAAGTGTGTCTCGTGGAGTTACTCGGATGTACGTTCAACTTATGTATGCTAGGATATTACACCATTACGGTATGCTTAAAAACGTGAAAAGGTGAATATGTAATAAGATCCACGTTGCTTGTTTCTATTTTTATTATAAATACTATTAGATTATATACGTTCTGTATTTTAGGAATGGCACGAGGAAAGTACGAACACTTTAATAACGTATCTCATTGTATTAACGTCGATGATGTTCAATATTTTCATATTTTGCTACATCGGTGATCTCGTTACGGAGCAGGTGAGATAAACGCGCTTACGTTCTCAGGGATTCTGACTAATTTTTCAATTTATAACAAATTATTGAAATTATTATCAAATCTCTCATAGTAAACAAATTTTACTACTATACTATACTATAAACGGTCCACTGAAATTTTGTGTTTAACATGAGGGAAATTTATTAAAAGGTACACGAATATATATAATTTCAGTGAACCGTCTCATTTTAACATAAAATTTTTTACTGCGATTGAATCGTAAAATTCAACTGTGCGATAGTGTAAGAAAGTCGGTGAGGCAGCTTACATGACAAATTGGTATAAATTGCCACGTAAAACTGTGCTTGGTCTGATATTAATAATTTTGCGGTCGAGCATTGTTATTAAAATTACTGCTGGAAAAATATTTCACATGTCGATCCCAACTTTTGGTGATGTGAGTATTATAAAGATTTCAAATGTATTTACTGAGAAATATAAAACAAGTGTTAATTTATTATACGTTGCTATACGCTGTGCAGAAACCGGGATTATATGTATTCGTGTTTACATACGTAACAGCTGATCAAAATTCAAATTAACTATGCCTACTTTCTAGGTAATTAAAACATCTGTGGCATACTTGAATATGCTTAGAACTCTGACTATATAAATATCGTGGGATATTTATAAAACATATTATAAGATACAACGTTAAAACTTAAAATATCTGTTGCATAATAAACATTTTGCACGTAAATCTAGTTTACAGAAAATTATCGTACGGCACTATATATGTAAAATTATGTAAACAATCGTACATCATGTGTGCGCTTCTACGATAAATTTTTGTAATCGTAACTTGTGACTCATTCCTTTCGTTTGTCTTCTATCTTACTTACAAACCTATGTAAATACTCTTTACTTTACATACCGTCGTCTGTCGAACTATGTTACCGCCTATAATTGCAATTGATGGTGCAACAGGTCATTGTGTTGCTATATTTGCTCACGCAGAAAAGAAGCGCTTAGTAACCCGCTTGCTTTCAAAGGACGGACATCGCTATTTTAGTGGGCCAACTTTAGCTTTATGTATTTAACTATGTAACAAACTGGAATGAGCACTGGCATGGTGAAGGTTGTGACGTGTAAGACAGACCTGTAAAACAAAGGCAATGTCCAAGTAGATCTCTGTCTTATTAACATGCTACATAGTCTATATAGGTTTAGATAATACGTACACAGACAAAGATGGGAATTCTATTCGGATATTGTCTCTATCGGCACAAAGTCATCTGGCAGAAACAAAAGCAATATTCGTTACAGATTGTTATATAGTACAATGGCTTTACGTTATTATAACGAACATCACGATTACACATAATATCTGAAACAAACCAACCAACGTTTACCAATGTTTATGTACAGATAAAATTCATTAAAACGATTAAAAGACACCTTCCTACAGTTTAATGAGCTGTACCGCACATGACGAGTATCATACTTCAGCCTAGACACCCTGAATGACGCAGCGTCCAAATCGAACGCAGCTATAGACACAGGATCCGCTCCCTACTACCAACTCGCAAAAGCTCGCCTGTATTAGAATTACTACGTTGCCTCTTCCTTCCTCTCTCCGCATCTTGACATGTGTGTACTATCTGCAATCTAGTAGCGTTGGCAACTGCTAATGCAACAAGCGGCAGGAGACTATCGATCAGTGTAAAGTTCGCCGGAAGGTGCTTCTCTCCTGGAGTCGGCACGATTACGAGAGTCTGCGCAAGCGCTACCCTGGGCTTGCCGCCGCGCGGAAGTCGCGAGAACCAGTCAGGAGTCAGTGCATCGCGCGCTTTCGCGGATCGAACATGACTCGTTCGCTGCGGGAGCCGGCAGCGAAGAGAAGTCTCTACAAGCGGCACAATGATTACAGCCTCCAGTTGAACCGCTGGTTTCTAAAGCCGATCGGCATCTGGCCTACCTCGAACAGCACGGAAAGGATGCTGTCGCACGGTATCCGGTTCACCTGTTACTCACTGATAGCTTTCACGGTGATACCTTCCGTGCTATACATCTTCCTCGAGGACCAAGACGTCGACATCCGCGTGAAGGCCATCGGACCGGTCAGCCACTGGCTCATGGGCGCGATGAATTACCTGTCGCTGTTGCTGCGCGGCAGCGAGATACGCCGGTGTATCGAGCACATGGAGGTGGACTGGCAGCTGGTGAGCAGAACGGAGGACCGCGAGGTGATGCTGAGGAACGCCAAATTCGGCCGCTTCGTCGCCGGCTTCTGCGCGGTCTTCATGCACTGCGGCGTGTTCTCGTACAGCATGGTGAAGGGCATGTCGTCGTTGGTCATCGTGATCGGCAATCAGACCGTCACGATACCCCGACTGCCGTGTCCGTTTTATAGTAACTTCCTCGACACGACGGTCAGCCCGACGAATCAGATCGTGCTGATGATACAGTTCCTGTCGGGATTCATAGTCAACTCGATCACGGTCGGCGCGTGCAGCCTGGCCGCGGTCTTCGCGATGCACGCCTGCGGACAATTCAGTGTGCTGTTCCTTTGGCTGAACGAGCTGGTCGGCGACGACGACGGGGAGGAAGGGTACAGATCGGTCGAGTATAAACTCGCTAATATCGTGCAACATCATTTACGTGTGTTAAGGTAGCAAAAGATACCGATAGTTGGGCTTCCGCGGTGTGTAGTAATTCGACTTCCGGGGTTGACGCCGCGTTCTTCATGGATCTGTCCCCGGCGTTTTCGTAAAGGAGAGATACAACTTTTCGCGAAATGTCGAGAACAAATCCACAAAGAACGCAACACCAATCAGGAAGCTAAATTGAGTAGTAGGAAGGGTAACTTGTTACCTTCGTGGATAAGCGGCGAGGATCTCTGATCGGGATGCGTAATACCGAAGATATTATTATTTGCAGTTTTGTGTCGTACATCGAACAAGTCATGTATCAGGTGTGTCTTGTTCAACTGGTCGGCTGCACGTTGAACATGTGTATGCTCGGATATTATTCCATCACGGTAGGGCGGGAAATATCTCTCTCTCTATTTCTCAGATTTATTATTGTATCAATTAATTATGTACATTATTCTGTGGGAGGAAGAAAAAGTTGATTCCGATCCAAATTCCGATGAATATCGATGATAAACGGTCTTTTGATGCATTCCGATTTTTCAGGAATGGAACACGGAAGATACCAAGAACTTGATGACATACGGTATTCTATTCGTGTCAATGACATTCAACATTTTCATAATTTGTTACATCGGTGAACTTCTCAGCGAACAGGTAAAAGACGATATGCATAAAAGTCCCGCATCTGCAATGCCATTAGCAAGAATGTCTACCGAATTTATTATGTGTCACCGATGGTTCTCTAATCTGGAGCTTTTTACCGCAATTTCTTGTATAAATGAATGGTACAGTGTAAGAAAGTCGGCGAAACGGCCTATCTAACCGAATGGTACCGTTTACCTCAGAAGACTGCCCTTAGTCTGGTTTTGATCATTTCAAGATCCAGCGTTGTAATTAAGATGACTGCTGGAAAACTAATTGAATTATCCTTAGTGACGTTCGGAGACGTAAGTCTCGAAATTTATGATGCCACATATACCTTCCTTTTTTTTACGAATTATCAAAACACAGTCTAATAAATAATATCAAGCTCAATATTAATATAGCATATTAATGTGCACAAATTTATATCAATTAATTAATTAATTATATTTATTAACTTTTCATTATTATCTTTACTACTATTTACATATCTATTGCAAAGTAGACATTACTATATGTAACAAGACAAAATGCAACAGGTATACCGTTGCATACATGATTGCTGAATATCTTAGGAGAGTCGTCGGTGCATAAGCTTTGTACGATTTTCTGAAAGAAAGAAAAAAAGAAAGCAGGAAAAAGAAATTGGCAATACTATAATTTTCCAAGTAGTTTCCCAAGCAATATTAAAGTGTTATTCATTTCAGGTAATTAAAACATCCCTTGCGTATTTAAACATTCTTCGCACTGTCGCTCTGTGAGTTATAAATTATCGCATGATCATTAGAATAAATTAAATAGAAAACCACGCGTCAACCTTTACTTATAAAGAAAAGAAAAATCTTAACAATGGCACACTTATAAAATCACTCCTTGCTCACCATGACAGTCGTTCTTTGGACAAAGATACGTTATATTTGATGCATGGCAAATTAACTGCGAGCGCGGCAGATCACTTTTCCCCGCCGTCTTTACTCAGTCCATCGACTCGATCTATACACGTTCGTCCCGATGTCAGCAAAGCAACAAGTAATCCGACGTTGCTAGTCGATCGATCGGATTCTCTTCGTGGTAAACTACCGTTTACCTTCGCGCAGACGCCGCGGTGACTACTAGGCGCGTATGTGAAAGACTATTAGTAGACGTCGTGCCGTCGTGTAGCTATCATGTGTCAGTCAGCGAGCAGAGACTTGCACGATCACAGCGTGCAGCTGAATCGCTGGTTCCTGAAGCCGATAGGCGCATGGCCGCAATTCTCCGCGGCCACGAGGAGAGAGAGGGCGATGTCGAACACACTGATATTCACTTGTTACTTCTTGATCGCCTTCACCGTGATACCGTGCGCGCTGAACGTCTTTTTCGAGGAGAAGGACCTCGACCTGAAACTGCGGGCGATCGGTCCGCTGAGCCATTGGCTCATGGGCGGAATGAATTATTGCTCCCTCTTGCTGCGCAGCACCGACATAATCCGATGTATGCAGCATATGGAAACGGACTGGAGGATCGTCAGGCGGCCTCAGGATCGCGACATCATGGCGAAAAACGCGAAGCTGGGCCGCTTCGTCGCGGGTTTCTGCGCGATATGCATGCACGGCGGCGTGTTCTCCTACAGCATCGTGTCCGGCATGACGACGATAAAAGTGTTGGTCGGCAACGAAAGCATCTCGATGCTCCAGCTGCCGTGTCCGTCTTACAGTAAATTCGTCGACGCAAGGTTCAGTCCGGCGAACGAGATCGTCCTGGCGATGCAGCTGCTCTCGTGCTTCATAGTGAATTCCACCACCGTTGGCGCGTGCAGCTTAGCCGCTGTCTTCGCTATGCACGCGTGCGGGCAACTCGATATCCTAACCCAGCGGCTGAACAAGCTTGTCGAGGGTCAGAATGCGAAGGAAAACCAGTCGGCACAGCAGAAGATGGCTGACATCGTGGATCATCACCTGCGCGTTTTGAGGTGGAGTAACAGATTTAAGTATCTAAAAGTAAGATATATGATTTTAAACTTATCGCATGATCGTCAATTTGCATGTTCCATCCATGCATGGGTTCGAGAAAATTGATATATCATTGATATTAAGGTTTTGTTAAGGAATCGTTACTGCGAACTGTCTCGGATATATAAAAGACTTACAATTATTTTATTTANAAACTGTGTAATATTATAAATTACTTAACTCTGAACAAAAAGTGTATATAGGCAACGGAAATTGGACATAGGCAAAAATAATAATATATTAAATGTGTACAAAAGTTTTAGTCTATTGACTATATAAAAATAAAGCGCAAACGTAAAGCGAAAAGAGACTAAATTTTTTTACATATACTTAATATATTATATAGTGTACCATATAAAATGTACACACGAAGTCTTTTAAAGTGCAATGAAAATACCCATGAAAGAAAGATTTGACTTAAATGCATGGATTTCAGATTTATAGCGTACATCGAAGAAGTTATGAACCAAATATGTCTAATAGAATTAGTCGGATGTACATTTAACTTATGCATGCTTGGATATTACTCCATTACGGTACGCTAATCATCTTGAAAGGTGAATATGTAATCGGAGTTAATTAACGATATCTCTTCAATGATTTTCAAAAGATATTATTACACGCCCGAAAGAAAATGCACTACGATTTTTTTAGTGGTGGAATAAAATTGACTCGAAGAGTATAGTGGCATACCTGATCGTATATGTATCTATGAGTTTCAATATTTTCATTTTTTGCTACATAGGTGAAATTTTAACGCAACAGGTGAGGAAGCAATATCGACTCATACAGATGTTAATATATTTGTGTATCCTTAATACAGCGAACTATTTATTAGTGCAAAAAAGTTGGAGAAACGGCATATATGACCGATTGGTATCGCTTACCTCACAAGACAGCTCTTGGCTTAGTCTTGATTATATCAAGATCGAGCGCCGTGATCAAGATAACTGCTGGCAAACTGATCCAACTCTCTATCGCGACTTTCAGCGACGTAAGTGTCAATAATAATCTTGCAGATTGTTGTTAGAATAAGTTATTATTTCAGGTTATCAAAACTTCTTTCGTCTATCTCAATATGTTGCGGACCGTTACTACAACGTAAATCTGCACACGTTGTAATAGGTTTTCTATGGTTCTCTCTGGCTATAGCACTATTTAAATAAACACACACAATACTTTAGGATGTAAATATCCTAATTATAAATATATATTTATTTATCCTGAAATATATTGGGTTGGCAAACAAGTTCGTTCGGTTTTTTTGACTGGTATAAAATACAATTTATTTAATATACAAAATATATACTAATCAATAATGTATTGACCATTCTTTTCTATGACTTCTTGCCATCTTTTTACCAATTTCATAATCCCACATTCATAAAACGTCTGAGGTTTACCGGCAAAAAACTGATCCAGTTGCGTTTTAACAGCTTCATTATTAGCAAAGTTTTTCCCGTTCGGAGAATTTTGCAACGACCGGAACAAATACTAATCAGAGGGTGCCGGTGAATAAGGAGGGTGAGGCAAAACATCCCAGCCAAGCCTTAACAATTTGTTCCGAATAGTTAATGAAGTATGGGGTCTGGCATTGTCGTGGTGGAAGACTACTACTTTTCGATTTGCCAATTCTGGACGTTTCGAACGTATTGCTTGATTCAATTTCGTTAATTGGGAGCAATATATAGTTGAATCGATCGTCCTGCCTGATGGTAAGAGCTCATAATAAATGATACCTTTATAATCCCACCACACTGAGAGCATAATTTTCTTCGGGTGCAATTCTGCCTTCGAGGTTGTTTGTGGTGGTTCACTGCTGCTTCCCCATGATCTTTACGTACTACGTTATCGTAGACGATCCAANATCCACTTTTCATCTCCCGTAACCAACCGCTTCAAAAATGGATCGTTTTCTTGGCGTTTCAGCAGCGCGTCACAGATGGAAATGCGAGCGGTTAAGTTGGCCTCGGTCAATTCGTGCGGCACCCAAACATTGAGGCGAGAAACGTATCCCAACTGACGCAAATGGTTTTCTACACTTGTGTGGGATATATTAAGTGTCGTAGCAATCTCTCGTACTGTTTGCGATGGATTTTTGTCGACGGTATTCTTTATTACAGCTGAATCAATCTCTGCTGGACGACCAGAACGGGACGCGTCACTAACATCAAAATCTCCAGAACGGAATTTGGCAAACCATTTTTGACACACACGTTCTGTTAAAGCATCGTCCCGATACACATTACAAATCTTCTTATGAGCTTCCGCAGCTCGCTTGCCTTTTTTGAAATAAAAAAGTAAAATATGGCGAAAATGGACGTTCTTTTCTTCCATATTTGCAACCGTGCAGTACGCACAATACTCTGGTATTAACCGGCGTATGTTTACAAATAGGTTAGGTGGAACGTTGTTTTTCAGCTGCACAAGCGCGTTGTGCTATAACGCTGTGGAAAAAAGATAGCAGAATGAGTAAACCTACTCCGATTAAAAAACCGAACGAACTTATTTGCCAACCCAATAAATATCTAACAAAAATATTTATGGATTTATAAAAAAATACTATTACGTGCGATAATCATCATTGTGGAGCAACTTTTAAGCCTTGGCATTTCACTCGAAAGAGTGAATTATAACCATTTCTTATGATGCTTTACATTTCAGTATTATTAACAGCAATATACACTATACACCCTATACGCAAGAGGCAAGTAAAACCTTAAGTCAAATTCGCAATTACATACGCGAAAATATTTTAATCTTCTCGCCACAGCGCCTTGTAAAAAAAATTTTTACAAGCGAAAAATACATGAAACGCCTCTACGTACAGTAGTCATATGATCGGTATGAATTACTGCGCACAAAATTGCTCTTGGTCTGGTTTTCATGATAGCACAATCGAATAACGTTATCAAGATAACAGCTGAAGAATTATTTTACATGTTTCCTGAAATTAGACGCGTAATACGTTCAAGTTCAATATAAATACAAATTAAACATTTATTCAATTTGTACGACTGTCGAAAGGTCGATTAATTAATGAGCTAATATTTTCCTACAATTAATATCGCACTTTGTGCGCACAACATCATAAGAGAACATTGATAACGTAACAACACTCACTGCCTTCGGTACATCCCTACTGCATTCTTTACTGAGAGCATCAATTATCGATCAGTCGTGTCTCTCTTCGAAAGCGCAACACCCTATCCTTTCAGATGCGCTTTCATGAATCGCTCAAGCGCAAACGCTTGTCCAAATATAGCTTTAATCGAAGCACTGCTCACCGCAAATTCAGTGTATCAAACGACTTTACGAAGTAATCATGACGGTCTCCGAACGTGTGCGAAGGAGCGCGAAAGTCACGTACAAAAACAACAACGACTACAGTATTCAGCTTACTCGTTGCTTCCTGATACCAATCGGCATCTGGCCACGAGCGAGCACAGCCACGAGGATGGAGAAGTTCTCGTCGTACGCGCATATACTCACCTGCTTCGGCTTCATAGCGATTATCGTATTGCCGTGTACGTGTCGTTGGAGGAGAAGGATGTTCACATGAAAATCAGCATCGTCGGCCCGCTGATCCACTGGTTTATGGGCATGATTAATTACGGGTTACTGATCGCGCACGGCGACGACATTCGTGAATGCGTGCAGCACATGGAGATGGACTGGAGACTTGTGCAGAAGATCGAGGATCAAGAGGTGATGATGCGACAAGCCAAGATCGGCCGCTTCGTCTTCGGATTTTGTGCGATGTTCATGCAGGGCGGCACATTTCTCTTCGACATAGCCAAATCAATGACAACCACAATCGTCGTCGTCGGCAATGAGACTGTGTCGATGCACTCGATGACTTGTCCAATTTACACCAAGTTCATCGACGCGAGATTCAGTCCGGCGAATGAGATAATGGTGGTTGTCGAGTTAATTTCAGCTTTCATAGTGAATTCAGTCACGGTGGGCGCCTGCAGCCTCGACGCGGTCTTCGCCATGCACGCGTACGGCCAGCTGAACATGCTGTTCTCATGGTTAAACAGACTCGTCGCGGATACGAATAATGAAGGGGATCAGTCGGCCGAGCGGAGGCTGGCCATTATCGTGGAGCATCACTTGCGAGTGTTGAGGTATATCGCTTCAGCATTGAAATCGACTGTTTCTGGAAATCCACTCGATTCATTAAAAGCAAATAAATTTCGAAAATTTCACTTGAAATTAGCTATATAGGAATGTAAATTAATAGTCAAATTTCCACATATACCGTTTTTCTTGATTTTTCTTTTTATAAAAAGAAAATGCAGCAGGACATTACAATTAGATATATACATTGCAGTTTTATATCACGTGTAGAGAGTCTTATGCAAAATATCTGTCTTGTGGTAGTGTTGGGATGTACGATAAATATGTGTTTACTCAAATATTACTTTATTACGGTACGCTAATGACCTGAAAGGTGAATATGTGACCACCTGTAGTATATATTGCTTTATATATTAAACATCCTGCTTAACATTTAGATCACCTAATTAAAATATGGAAAGAATTAATATTTCGTTATTCTTTAGCTAAACTTACATTTCGATCTTTGTAGAATTGGGATATGTTTGACGCACCAAAAACAGTGTCATATGTCATTATATACATATCGATGGCTTTTAACATTTTTATATTTTGTTATATTGGCGAAATTCTTACGGAACAGGTAATTATTTAACGATATTTCGTGGTACTTAATTACTTTTTAAACTCTATCCGAAAAGACAACGAATTAAAAATATTTAAAAATACTTAAATTTAATATATGATTAAATTTTTTCAAATTTCTTATTTCTCATAAAAAATGTTTTAATTTGTATTTACTAGTGTAAAAATGTTGGTGAAAAGGCATATATGATTAATTGGTACGAATTACCACATAAAACTGCTCTTGAACTCATTCTGATAATAGCACGATCGAGTAACGTTATCAAAATGACAGCTGGAAAATTTTTTCAATTGTCTATCGCAACTTTCGGTGATGTAAGTAATACATACATTGTACTTATAACGAACTTTTATTAATAAAAAATTAATATATACCGTTTTTACTTCACATTGTAAATTATTACGCTCTTATACGGCTCCACTTATTGGTTTACGTTCATGCACTGATTTCAAAAATAATATAAAAATCTTTTAAAATATTGTTAACTTATGTCATAAATAGGAAGAAAAGGAATGTTGCTTTTTTAGGTAATTAAAACTTCCATGGTATATTTGAATATATTGCGAACGATGACATCCTCCGAATGAATAATAGCTTTAGCAAAGAAATATAACAAGTATATACATGTATTTTATATAGAACTGAAATATATGTCATACAATTAAAGTAGAAAGCAATAATTAATAAACAAAATGTATAAATGATTATATATACGTTACAATACAGTTATTTTTCAACCATATTACTCACAAATGCAATGCGATTGCATGATATTAAAATTAAAAGTTAAAATTCTATAGAATAGAAGATCAAATATTTATAGGATTCATGGCTGCAAGGTATTAATTATCGTAAGTTAACATCAACGAATGAACGAAAAAATGAATTAATTTTTAACTGAAACTAATCAATTTAAAATGCATTATCTTGAACTTATTAACTTTTTTTCATATAAATTAAAATAGTATAGTTAAAAAGTTAATCTTATAGACTATTAACATTTAACTTAATTAAAAATACAAATTAACTTACCCAACCCTACATAAAGTCATACATATACAAACAAACCCATAGGACCAAGTTAACAACATGGAGCACTTCACCGTGCCGCGTACGTTCCCTTCATGGTTCTCCGCCCACACGGTCAACGGGCGCGCGATACTTCCGTGTGCATCAATTATCGATCAGGTGTGCACGCGCCTCTTTCAGGAAGCGCATCATCCTGCCCGTTCATTAGACCCGTTCACTCTAATGATTCGCGCAGGCGCCCGTTCGTGAATGTACGGGCAGGTGCATCACCTGTCAGCAGGCAGTCTATCGTGCGCCTTCGCGAAGTGACGATGACAAAACTCAGGCACGTGTCGACGGACGTCGAATTCACATACAAAAACAACAACGACTACAGTCTTGAACTTACCCGTTGGTTCTTGATGCCAATCGGCATTTGGCCACGAGCGAGCACAACCACAAGAGTGGAGAGGTTCTCGTCGCACGCGCATATTTTTACCTGCTCCGGCTTGATAGCGATCATCGCAGTGCCGTGCTTGTTATACGTGTCGTTGGAGGAGAAGGATGTTCAAATAAAAATCAGCATTTTCGGCCCGCTGAGCCACTGGTTTATGGGCATGATTAATTACTGGTTATTGGTCGCGCACGGCGATGACATTCGGGAATGTGTGCAACACATGGAGATGGACTGGAGACTTGTGCAGAAGATCGAGGATCAAGAGGTGATGATGCGACAAGCCAAGATCGGTCGCTTCGTCTCCGGATTTTGTGCAGTGTTCATGCAGAGCGGCACATTCCTCTTCGCCATAGCCAAATCATTGACAACTACAATCGTCGTCGTCGGCAATGAGACTGTGTCGATGCATCCGATGACTTGTCCGATTTACACCAAGTTCATCGACGTGAGATTTAGTCCGGCGAATGAGATCATGGTGGTTGTCCAGTTAATTTCATGTTTCGTTGTGAATTCAGTCACAGTGGGCGCTTGCAGCCTCGACGCGGTTTTCGCTATGCACGCGTACGGCCAACTGAACATGCTGTTCTCATGGTTGAACGGACTCGTCGTGGATACAAATAATAAAAGGGATCAGTCGGCGCAGCAAAGGTTGACCATTATCGTGGAGCATCACTTGAGGGTGTTGAGGTATATCGCTTCAGCATTGAAATCGACTGTTTCACTCGATTCATTCATACCAAATAATTTTCGAAAATTTCACTACAAATTAGCTATATAAGAATGTAAACTAATAATCAAATTTCCATACACACACGATTTTTTCTGCTTTCTCTTCTTGTAAGAAGAAAATGCAAATAGACTTTTATATATTTACATATGTGCATTGCAGTTTTATATCGCGTTTGGAGAGTCTTATGCAAAATATCTGTCTTGTGGAATTGTTGGGATGTACGATGAATATGTGTTTACTCGCATATTACTTTATTACGGTACGCTAATGATGTGAAAGGTGAATATGTGACCGCCTGTAACATATATTGCTTTATTTATCAAATATTCAGTTTAACGTTCAGATCACTCAATCAAAATATCAAAAAGAATTAATATTTAATTATTATTCAGTTAAATTTACATTTCGATCTTTGTAGAATTGGGATATGTTTGACGCACCAAAAACAATGTCATATGTCATTATATATCTGTCTATGGCTTTTAACATTTTTATATTTTGTTACATTGGCGAAATTCTTACGGACCAGGTAATTATTTAACAATATTTTATGCATTTAATTACGTTCTAAACTCTATTTGGAAAAAGACATTAAAATTATTTAAATTATATATATGATTAAATTTCTTCACATTTCTCATCTCTCATAAAAAAACTTTAAAATTTGTATTTGCTAGTGCAAAAATGTTGGTGAAAAGGTATATATGATTAACTGGTACGAATTACCACATAAAACTGCTGTTGAGCTTATTTTGATAATAGCGCGATCGAGTAACGTTATCAAGATGACTGCTGGAAAATTATTTCAATTGTCTATCGCAACTTTCGGTGATGTAAGTAAAACATACATTGCACTCATTATGAACTGTATTAATAAAAAATTTATATATGCCGTTTTTACTTTACATTATAAATTATTACGCACCTATAGGGCTCCACTTATTGGTTTACGTTCATGCACTGATTTCAAAAATAATATAAAAATCTTTTGAAATGTTGTTAATCTATGTTATAAATAGGAAAGAAGGGATATTGCTTTTTCAGGTTATTAAGACTTCCGTGGTATATTTAAACATGTTGCGAACTATGACACCCTCAGTATGAATATTAGCTTTAGCAAAGAAACGTACTAAGTATATACATATATTTTATATAAAATTGAGATGTGTCTCATTAAAGTAGGAAACAGTATTCAATAAACAAAATATGTGATCGATTATATATACGTTACAATACAGATATTTTTGAACCATATTATTCCTAAACGCAATATAATTGCATGGTGTTCAAATTAAACGCGTTAACGTTTTATGTAACAGAAAATCAAATATTTACAGGATTCATGGCTGCAAGATATTAATTATCGTAATTTGACATATTTTTAAGGGTAATATTCTTTTTTGCACAAATTTCTGAACAGTCGATATTTCCTTGTAATAGACTAACTTTTTTATTCAGTGAAATATGCGATTAGAAAGTTAATTATGCAAAAAAGTATACGTGGGTAAAAAGTATATGTATATATATGTGGCTTTGTATAATTAATTTTTAACTTTAATAAGATAACTTATTAGCTTAACTTTCAAGTTAGTTTCGATTTAGACATATTTTTAACTCAACTAAGTTAATTTTATGGACTATTAACTTTCACTTAATTTAAAATACAAATTAACTTACCCAACCCTACATAAAGTCGCACATACACCCCCATAGGACCAAGTTAACAACGTGGAGCACTTCACCGTCCCGCGTACGTTCCCTTCATGGTTCTCCGCCCACACGGTCAACGGGCGCGCGATACTTCCGTGTGCATCAATTATCGATCAGGTGTGCACGCGCCTCTTTCAGGAAGCGCATCATCCTGCCCGTTCATTAGACCCGTTCACTCTAATGATTCGCGCAGGCGCCCGTTCGTGAATGTACGGGCAGGTGCATCACCTGTCAGCAGGCAGTCTATCGTGCGCCTTCGCGAAGTGACGATGACAAAACTCGGACGCGTGCCGACAGACGTCGAATTCACATACAAGAACAACAACGACTACAGTCTTCAACTTACTCGTTGGTTCTTAATGCCGATCGCAGCCTGGCCACGTGCGAGCACGTCGACGACGATAGACAGGCTTTCCTCACGAGCGCATATTCTCGCTTGCACTTTTCTGATAGTGATCATCATGGTGCCGTGTTTGTTGTACGTGTCGCTGGAGGAGAAGGACGTTCAGATGAAACTGATCGCCATGGGTCCGCTGAGCCATTGGATTATGGGCACGATTAATTATTGTCTGCTGCTGACGCGCGGCGGTGACATTCGCGAGTGTGTCCAGCACATGGAGACGGACTGGAGGCTAGTACGGAGGTTCAACGATCAAGGAGTGATGCTGCGATACGCGAAAATCGGCCGCTTCGTCGCCGGGTTCTGCGCGATCTTTATGCAGAGCGGCACGTTCCTCTTCACCGTGGCCAAGGCGATGACATCTATACCCGTCGTCATCGGCAACGAGACCATGTCGATGCACCCGATGACTTGTCCGATCTACAGCAAGTTCATCGACACGAGATTTAGCCCGGCGAATGAGATCATGCTGGCGGTGCAGTTGGTGTCGTGTTTTATAGTGAATTCGGTTACTGTGGGCGCGTGCAGTCTCGCCACAGTCTTCGCCATGCATGCTTACGGGCAACTAAGCATGTTGTTCTCGTGGTTGAACGAACTTGTCGCCGACGGGGATAAGGGAAACGAGCTCGCGGAGCAGAGACTGGCCGTCATCGTGGAGCATCACTTGAGAGTGCTGAGGTAGTTGACTCGTGTATTGAAGGCTGCATTGTGTTTCATGAGAATTTACTCGCGAAATGTTAAAGTAATCATAAAAAAGGCAAATAAGAGCAAATTACTCTAGTTAATGAGTGATAAATTAATTAATTATGTATATATATATTAACGATAAATAATTTGTATCGACTGAAAGTCAATTACTGGAGGGGAAGTTTACGGTTTACTAAAGTTCCCCTTTTTACGACAAGCACGCGATACATTTACACGTATACGTTGCAGTTTTATATCGCGTATGGAGAATATTATGCAATATATCTGTCTTGTGGAATTGGTGGGGTGCACGATGAATATGTGTTTACTTGCATATTATTCTATTACGGTATGCTAAAGACCTCAAAAGGTGAATATGTTGTAGTAGCGTTTTGTAGCTTCCTCATTTATAAAATGTTAAACGTGATTTTTCTGATTTTTCAGAATTGGAGTGATTTCGACGGGGCGAAAATAACGTCGTATGTTATGGTATACATATCTATGGCTTTCAATATTTTTATATTTTGCTTCATCGGCGAGATTCTCACGGAACAGGTATTAGTTCGAAATAATGATTAATATTTAAGCATTTGGGACTTTTTTCCCCACACGTGCAAACATCATATCTTTCATATTGTGACTTTATTATTCCATTTTTATTCAATCACAGATTGCATTTGAATTTTATTTTGCGTGATATTTTTTTTAGTTCGCTCTCATATATTTTTGTATATATATATATATACAAAACATATAAGATTTAGTAAGTGTATATTTACTTATCAGTGCAAAAATGTCGGCGAAAAAGCATACATGACCAATTGGTATGAATTATCGCACAAGACTGCCCTCGGTCTCGTTTTGATCATAGCGCGATCGAGTAATGTTATCAAGATAACAGCCGGAAAATTATTTCAATTGTCTATCGCAACTTTTGGTGATGTAAGTAAAACAAATATCACACCCATAATGACAGTGTATTAATACAAATTTAATACATTTTTTAAATTTATATTTGTTATATACACATTAATATAACATTAATATAACATTAATAACATAAATGATGATATTATAAATTATATATATATTATAAATTATTGCAATACTCCTCTCCTTACTTTATTTGTTATCCGTCAGTGTTTTTAAATACATAATATTTACGAGTGTGAACATGCTAATGTTAACTTTTTCAAAATAATTAACTTTATTGTGAATAGGAAGAGGAAGACTTTGCTGTTTCAGGTAATTAAGACTTCTGTGGTATATTTAAATATATTAAGAACGATGACACCAGCCACATAAATAATGTTAAATTAGGAAACGTAAATATATATTTTGTACAAGCCAGGTGTGCAATACATATGTGCAAGTTTCAAGATAGAACAAGTATTTAATAAATAGAATAAACGACTATGAATGCCAAAATATATATGCACGTGTTTCTCATTAAGTCGTTTAAAAGCATTGACGCTTTTAGCATAGGATAATCACTCGGGACTTCATTAACAATATTTTTCGTAAGATCATAAGAATGCTTACCTCGCGAGTTTGCAGAATGCTTGTTACATCGAGTCGGAAATATTTTCTCTTGAGTCACATTTGAATCGCCATGAGTGAGTCGCGATTCTCAGATACCTAAATGTGAATGCGGGATAATAAGAAAACATTTATAAACTGTAAACGAGAACAGATAAGCACACAATTCGCCGATGTATAATCATCGAAGTCTCAGTTCACCTCTGAGGCCACTCACACGGCTCACGGATACAATGTAATTCCATGAGCTGTGACTATCGATCGACTTACTAGTAGACGCACACAAAAAATATCCTATTATTACCTGCCAAGAAGCATAGACGCAAGCATAGGCGCAAGCGCCACTTCCTATCCGCCAGTCACGCGGTGACTGGTAGCCCCATTCAGTAGCTTCCGCGGCTTCCTCGAGTGATCATGGACACCGGCGAGCCAGTGAAATCCGCGGTCTCGCCGCGGGACGCGAGTGACTACAGTCTTCAGTTGAACCGTTGGTTCCTCAAATCGGTGGGTGCGTGGCCGAAGTCAGCCGCTACAACAATCGGAGAGAGAGTGCGGTCGACGATACAGATAGTCATCTGCTATTCCCTGATAGCCTTCGCGGTCGTACCGTGCATCCTGAACATCCTGTTCGAGGAGAGCGACGTTCACATGAAATTGAAAGCCGTGGGCCCATTGAGCCACTGGTGCATGGGCGGCATGAATTACTTCTCGTTGCTGTTCCGCAGTCGCGAAATACGCCGTTGCATGCAGCACATGAAGACCGACTGGCGAACAGTGACGGAACTCGAAGACCGGCGAGTGATGTTAAGGTACGCCAGATTCGGCCGGTTCGTCGCTGGCTTGTGCGCAGTTTTCATGCACAGCGGCGTGTTCTCCCATAGCCTGCTGCAAGGTATCACGCCGACAATCGCCTACATCGGCAACGAGAGCATGACGGTGCACGTGTTGCCGTGTCCCTCTTACAGCAAGTTTGTGGATATCAGATACAGTCCAGAAGGCGAGATAGCGCTAGTATTGCAACTTGTCTCCAGCATCGTCGTCAATTCAGTAACGGTTAGCGCTTGCAGCCTAGCGGCGGTGTTCGCGATGCACGCGTGCGGCCAATTGAACGTGCTGATGAGGTGGTTGGATAGCTTGGTGGACCACCGAAATCAGCTCGACACGGTTCAACGTCGATTGGCGATCATCGTGGAACACCATCTGAGAATACTGAGGTGCGCTGCAGACAGAAATTTCATCAAGAACATTTTCATCTACACATGAATTCTTATCTATAAATTCTCTTCTTGATATATATATATATATATTTATTTATTTATTTATTTATATCGCGTTCAATTCAATTATATGTTTAATTCAATTGTTATTGTTCTACGTTTTCAACGTTCAATGCAGTATTGGTCGCAGTTGAAGAAATATAATTCACACTCAAGAGAGAAAATGAGATGCATGTAGTAGCACAATCGTAATTTATGTTATATTACAGCTTCGTGGCGCGTATGGAGGCACTTTTGAATCAGATATGTTTCGTGGAATTGCTAGGATGTACTTTTAACTTATGTATGCTCGGATATTACACCATTACGGTATGCTAAAGAATTAAAAAGGTGAATATGTAACTGAAGCAATCTATGGCATTCCATGAATTTCATTCAGAGCCGATCAGCTGCCGAGAAAAATGTCTCGTTGATACCACATTATTAGCTTATATATAAAATTATAACATCCCTAGTAATAATGGTGTAATTTAAACACATGATCTCCTTTGCGAAAAATATATGAAATTTTTCAGGGATGGAATGTAATAGAGAAGCAAACATCAATCGCTTATATGATCATATATATGTCCATGACTTTCAACATTTTTATATTTTGTTACATCGGCGAAATACTTACAGAACAGGTAAAAAAGACACTATTCATCCAAAAATAACTTGATGTATTCCTTTCTTATTGTGACTCGTTTACTTCAGTACATCGTGAACCTAAAATCTGCGTCTCTCACAGCTATCCTCCGAAGTATATACGAGGGTGGTCCCTGAAGTACCCGACCCAACAAAGAAAACACAAAAATTTGGGAAAAAAATGTATTTATTTTTCAACATAATCTCCTTTCAGCTCTATACACTTTTCCCAGCGATGTTCAATAAGTTCGATACCTTTTTTATAATAAGAACTGTCTTGCTCCTCAAAATAGCCATTAACTGCCGACATCACTTCTTCATCGTTGAAAAATCTTTGACCACTGAGCCATTTTTCAAGTTTGGGAACAGAAAATAATCCGAGGGGGCTAAATCTGGCGAATAGGGTTCACCAGACACTCAATTGAAACATCTTCACGACACTGTTTTTGCTCGAGTGTGAGCAAATGCGGCACCCATCTTGCATCACACAGCTTTCTCATGCCCAAATTTGTCAGATAATATGCGATGTACCGCACTTTTTGAAATGCCTACTATGTCTGCTAGCTCGCGCACTTTCAGTCGACAATCATCCAGTACCGCTTTGTAGATTTTCTTCACCATTTCTGGAGTCGTCACCTCATTTGGTCGACCACTGCGATGCTCGTCTTGGCAGCTCTTACGGCCTCGTTTAAACTCTGCTACCCAATATTTTACTGTTGTAAACGAAGGAGCAGACTCACCTAGAGTAGAATCCAGTTCAGCTTTTATATTGGTTGGGCTGAGGCCTTTCAAATAAAAGTATTGTATCACATAACGATGACTAATTTTCTCCATTTTCACAAATTCACTGAAAACGTTCACTATTGATGGCTGCCAAACAAATACTAAACAACGTGGCGTCTTCAAACTTGAAACATATGCTTTATAGATTGTGTACTTTCTAATACAGTGATATTTTTCAAACAACTACCGCCATTTCTAGGTCAGGTCGGGTACTTCAGGGACCACCCTCGTATATTTTTCAGCACATTTGTAAACAGTTATGTTTCCCCCTATTTCTTTTTAATCTCTGACAAATTTTGCAGCGAAGATGAATGCGATGTATTTGCACACGGTACGTTTACGGCATACTGAAATAAATGAGATGCATTAAAAACACATACACATACGCGACATTTTAAATATTCAATTACTTTAGAAGATAGTGGAAATCATGAAAATAAAATATTTAATGGTATATAATTGAAGCACAATTACAAAATTATAAAATGAAATATTTAACATGTTAAAATTTTTTTACATTGTAAAATAAGTCGTTTAACAGAGTAAGCAAATAGGCGAAACAGCCTACATGACTAAGTGGTATCGCTTGCCCCACAAAACGGCTCTTGGTTTGATACTGATTATTTCCCGATCGAGTATGGTAATTAAATTAACGGCGGGAAAACTGGTCCATCTTTCTATTGCAACGTTTGGTGATGTGAGTGTATGAATACGTATACTGCTTTTCGTATAAGCCCAATATGATCTTTATGGTCGCACGACATTCCAGGTGATGAAGACTTCAATGATATATTTAAATATGCTTCGGACCATGACGACTTAAACGATCGATTACACTGCAAATTTTGTACAAAATATTAGCAAACTTTCTAGTTGCCACCATAACTCTTTAAATACATATTGTATTTAAATTAAAAAATATATAAATTACAATATATTCAAATGGGACATAAATTTATGATTTAAGAACGCCATTATATATCATATATTTTGCCAACGTAATCAGGGAAACCAGAGGGCACTGTGGGACCTTTTTGAGTTTGCTCATTTGAAAGGATCTCACAATTATTGTAAATATGAAAAACAAAAATGTGCGATTCTTTCAATTGTTTTCGAGAAGACAGTGCTATTCTATCTCGTTCCCATCATATCGCAAGTTTTGAAAGTTTGGGAATATTGGAGATATTTCCATGTTTCACTGAAGGAAATGTCAGCTCTGTGAAAAACTGATAGAACAGAGTACCCGTTAGAAGTAATTATTGATTTGACGTACACGCGAAACTTGAGAACAAATATCAACGTGAACGACCGTTAAACTTCTCTCGAAGTTAGCGCAGGCGCTTCTTTGCATGTCTAACCGCTCCTGGAGCACTGTTCATCGCGACAGTGCACTGGGAGCTTTCGCGAAGTGATCATGACGAATTCGAAACTAGTACTAAGAAACAAGTTCATAAACCACTATGATAACAGTCTTCAACTGAATCGTTGGTTCCTCAAACCGATCGGCGCTTGGCCGGAAATAAATGAATCTAGCGTTGTAGAAAATGTCTTTGTGCCGGTACAGATTTTAATTTGTTGGACGATGGCAATTTTTATAGGGGGGCCGTGTCTGTTATACATATTATTCGAAGCAGAGAACATCCCGGCGATACTGAATGCGATAGGTCCACTCTTTCATAGGGCTATGGGTTCGGTAAATTATTTGACATTGCTCAAACGTAGGAGAGATCTTCGTGATTGTATAAAACACATGGAGACAGACTGGCAACTAATCCAAAGGATCGACAACTGTGAGATTATGATACAATACGCCAAATTCGGCCGCCTCATCTCCGGAATTTGTGGAGTAATTATGCAAGGCAGTACTATGCTTTTTAGTATAGCCAGGGCGATGAAAACTGTAACTATCGTGATCGATAATCAGACCATGACGATGTATCCGATGACATGTCCATCGTACCAAAAATTTATCGACACGAGGTTTAGTCCCACGAATGAAATTGTGCTGTCTGTGCAATTTTTGTCGACATTCGTAATGAGTGCCTCTACAGCAGGTATCTGTAGCTTGGCTGCTGTATTCGCAACACATGCGTGCGGCCAATTAAACATTCTGTATAAGCGTTTAGACGAACTGGACAAGAATGATGAGAAAGTGAACAATTCAGCTGAACAAAAAATGGCCGTCATCGTGGAGCATCATTTGAGAATATTAAGGTATGTTATGGGGAAATTCCGTTTTTGACATATTGAAAAATATTACTGTATAAGAACTTATTAATCGAGCACAAACTTAATTAGAAATAGAACCTACATGTCTTCGTTACAGTGAAAATAACATTTGTAAATTCTTAGAGGACAGTTTTTGACACGGCAAAGAACGCGATTTTGTGTCTAACGTGTTCAATTTGTGTGCAAATACTCTTTCTGCGAAGAAAAAACTTCGCGACGTTACACATATGTGCGTACATTTCAGTCTAATATCGCGCATGGAGAGTATTATGCAC